TATCGACTTCGTGAGGTGCCTAATCGGTTGAAGCATCAATTGTCTAAAAAAGATGGCAAATCTAAAAGTACCCGACGTTTGTGCTCTGGATGCTATAAGCAAAATGACATTTTGATGGGCCGACAATATGCTAGAAATAAAACCAAGAAAGTCAACACATTTTGTGAAACCTGCCCTTGTAAGCCGTTCATGTGTTTTGATTGTTTTAATAGATTACATAAAGTTTAGAACTTATGTCTATTTCATGGGCCGACAATATGCTAGAAATAAAACCAAGAAAGTCAGTATATTTTGTGAAACCTGCCCTTATAAGCCGTCCATATGTTTTGATTGTTTTTTTTTTTCATTTTTATTATGTATAATTAAGAAAGAAGTCATTTAATTTGTTTGATCTCCAATTTTAAGTCATAGCGTAGAGTACTGTATTTTTTATTTTATAATAAAGGTATTTTTCTAATATTTGGCATGCTTAATTTTATACCCCAATGATGTAAATAATTAAAATCATAACTGTATGACAAAATTTATTTAACTAAAAGTCATCCGTATAAATGTTAAACCAGAAATGTCAGAGAAAAAATGTGTCGGGTCCGTCAGGTCCCAAATATCTCAGACTTGTAAGATTTTTGCCGCGCTAAGGCGCGAGGTTTGTTCTACAGCGCCCCGCGGGTCACTGCGAATAGCGTTCACAAACTTATTTATGTCTGCCAGCCCAGTAAAGACATTTTAACGCAGATCGTACTGGCAGTCAAACCGTGTCTGCCGCGGCCCGATGGACCCGGCTCATTGTCAGCCATACGGTGTCTGCCATGGCCCATAGGGCGAAGGCGTATTTTTTTTTGGGCGTTCAACGTGTTAATTAAAACAGTCATTTGGACACTGATCATTATTGACTGTCAACGTAGTCTGAACAGTGATCATTATAGTCCTGATTTTTAAAGACTTACTTAAGATTAGATTATTTTTAGTTAGTTTATAATACCCTAAGAATGATTGTTTTCCAAAGAAATAATAAATAAACACATATACTTTATCAACTAAAAATCGCGGGTTACTCACGTGTATAAATTGAGAAAAGCTCTACTAGTTGTCGCCGCGTCCGCGCACGCTGCTCATGAGGAAGAACCCCTCTGTGGTTCGAAACTGGTAGAGCTTTTCTCAATTTATACACGTGAGTAACCACCCGCGATTTTTAGTTGATTTAGTATGTCTCACGATAGTTATTATAAAAACATATACTTTAATTTTAATAAACAACATTTTAAGACTTTTAAGTCCGAGTTTTTTTACACCGATTATAAATTTAAAACCCAGTTGTATTAAAACAAAGGAAAATGGACATTCATCATTATTGCAGTGGACCCTTCAATTAAAAAATGACAGAGATTTTTTATTGAAAAAAACAAACAAAAGACTAAAAACGTTGTGGTGCGTGCCAAAGAAAGTTACCACAACCGTCCAGGAGATTTCAAGAATATTTGCAAGAAAGGAAAACCTGCAAGCCAGATTAACCCAGACCCTGCACCTCTGTACGTCAAAGTTAAAAACTCGAAACTAGGAGATGTAAAAATATACTCACTACTCATTATGGTGAATGATGGAATGAACTACCAGAGTTAAAATATTTCAACGATGTGTTGTCAAGGCCAGTTGCCAAATTTAATTGTTTAATTTTAACGGGGTAGTTGCACAAACTTTTAATTTTAGTTCTAAATAAACAAATAAAGTGTTGTTATAATACCTATGTATTCTTTACTTTTTTTTATTGAATATCTGAATATTTGAAACCAAAATTTACCACCCCTGACCTCCTGTACACAACAAATACAAAAATGGTCCAATATAATTCATACAAAATAAATCCATAAATAACCAATCAAAAACAGTCAAATCCAAAGCCATGACAATCAAATTCGGCCAAATCCGCCGCTCACTATCAAATTTGGTCAAAACCGGCAGATTTTATTTGAAATCTGACTCTTTCTGTTTGAGACTTAGGTAGATATTTCTTTAGTTTAGTTTTAAAAGACTCGTTTGAATCACCCGCCTTGAGCTGAGTGGTCAAAAATATTGCCAATAACAAAAATTTCTTTATGCACTATAATGACAAATTAGGTGAATTCAACTTTACTGATTTTGTTACCAAACCTCTCATATGTATCTTCAAAACGGTTTACTGTAGAAGTATAGGAGTAACAGTGATCTAGAGCACTTTACTAGAACTATACAAAAAACCTTGTTGACTTAATTCATTCATTGTACTTTTATGAAAGACACTTAGCAAAATAATGTTTCAAATACCCATTTTACGGTAATAATAAATACAAACTAAACCTAAAAAATAAAACCAAACCAGTAAAGACAAACAAAATAAAAAATTTTGAATGGAAAAAAGATCATTTCTAGCAAAAAATTCATATGTAAAGAAAATGTTTTTACACAACCAGAAAGACTTCAAACACCAACTGAATACTTTAAATTGTTTTTACTGACCAAATAATACAAAAAATTTGAGAGCAGAGTACATTGTACGCATTTCAAGCATGTACCAAACACATCGCACTATTGAATCAAGATATTCCGGATTTTCTTTCAATAGAATTATTAATGGGTATTATACAATTACCTGTTATTTCTATTACTGGAGTACGAAAACTAGAATTCAACAAGTAGCTAAAATTATGTCATTAGAAAAGTACAAACAAATGAGAAGAACTTTAATATGTAACAACAAATATCTGGAAAATAGCACTGACTGGTATTTTTGGTGCAAGCCTTTAAAACTGCAATAAAGTCGAATGTCAATTGATGAGATGATGATAACCTACAAAGAGAAAAAGGCTGGAAACCTGCGGCAGTACATCAAACCGAAGCCCAAAAAATGAGGTTATAAAATCTTCGCCCGGTCTTATTGTAAGGTAGAGAAAGCACTTTTCAGGGAATTACGTTTAAAAATAAAGAAAAATCCATGGGGTTACGGGCTAAAGTAGTTTTTACAATATGTCGTACAACGCAGAATCCTGTTCTGTCGGAGGCGTATTTTGATAAAAAAAATCCAGTATTGAACATATGACATGTCTACGTGATGAAATGGGAATTTTAGGAACTTTAAGACAAAATAGGATACGTCAATGTGATTGAGAATCCGATAAATCGATCAGAAAGAAACCATGTTATATTAATAATAGAATTTGTAAATTGTAGTGATCAAAAGATTATCATGGTGAAATGGTTAGACAAAAAACCTGTACTGATCGTGATTACATATTTTATGTGGGTCTAGAGGATGCTAAAAGATTTATCATACATATCCAACGAAGACCAAATCCTGCAGAAGTTTTGTCTGCCGAAAACACCACGCAAAATGAACGTATAAAAACTTTAAAAACATTCTTTTTTCACACTCTCACGAACCAACCACAAAACAAACTTGTTGGAGATCCTAAATAAATAAATAAATAAATAAACACTACGATCTGCACCAAACACCTTCATGTGCTGATACTTGATAAGTTTCAATATCACATTCATTTACTCTTCATTAACACAAAGACGTAAACGTTGGTTTCCAACACCGTCTGAAATTTAATCCAAAGAGTATGTAACCACTACGTTTAAGAGACGGGACTCCCATACAAGCCAATGGAATCAATTTACAAGGCACTCTAATACCAACATTGCAATAAATAAGAGACGTCAGTCGTCAAAATCAATAGTACCAACCTAAAAGACCAAATAGTTCTGTGGTAGCTGTATACTAGGTTTAGTATCGATTTCGATATTTATAGGGTAGAAATCGAGGTCATATTACTTTTTTAATTTCTAGTTTCGAACTTTAAGATAAATTATAACCAAAATATTTTAATTTTGGTTATAATTTGTAGTAGCAATTCGCAGTGGCGGTCACTACATAAAAAAAGTACTACAGATTATGTAGTATTTATAAATATAATATACAACCTTGTCTTGTCAGATAAGATTACTATTAATTTATAAACTATACTCGGAATTTTAATTCCATTCCAGATTTGACAATTTCAGTGTTGCAACGTTATGACACGTAATAAATAGTAACGTAGCGAAATTATTCGATGTGGAAATCGAATATTTCTGAATCGATTCCTCTCGTTTATAAAATCACACCCGGATTCCGAAAGGCCGATCAATGTTAAAATCAATTAATTCTATTGTCAAGTCATCTGATTGGTTGTTGATAATTCAGTCAACCAATCAGATGACTTGACAAGAGATTTAACAGGGGATTCGTTAATTTTAGCGTTGACAAGCCTTTCAGAAACTGGGTGTTAATCTCGTAAACTAAATTTATCAGGAAATTAAATATTTCTGAACCGATAATTTAGTTTTGACAATTAATTAACGATCTGAGACTTTTCTTTTGTAATTGTGTGTGAAATTAATAAAAAATGTGATCATGAAGGAACATGACAAATAAAACAGATTTTTTATAAATTGTCGCCGTCATCGCTATCGCTATCACCGTTACTTTCTGTAACATTTGTTATGAATTGTGTCTGTGATTTTTATTGTCAATTAAAATATCTAGCTTACTCATTTTTTCCTCTTCTTTGACAACATGGGGTACGCATTTAGACCATTCGGTAGCTGTAATTTTTTGAATGCCTTCCTGAAACTGATTCACTGATTGTTTATCGATTTTTGTGTTCATCACTACACTGTTATATGTGGTATCATTATTTCACAAAATGACAGTAGGTCATGTCAAATCAGGAATCGAATTAAAATTCTGACTATAGTCAGAGACAAATGAGATACCTATCGTTTTTTATGAAGAGTCTAGATCTAGATCTAGATCCTATGAAGAGTTGGGAGATATATAGCAGTTTCTGATAGTTTGCTACCAGTTCCTTCTGCTTCAAACCAAATCCGCGGAAGCGTTTTGCGCTTGACCGGCCACCGAGGCCATTGGCCCAGTTGGGCCCCATCTGTGGTGGTCTATCAGTGAACTCTAAGTAATAATATATAAAACCACAATAGAAACCATATAATTTATTATTATCCTTGTTAAGAATCTCACACAAATAAATCATGTTACTTATATACAATTACACTAAATCATTCACAATGAAATGCTGTGACAGCAATCACTATTCCAATCTTATTAGAAATTATTTGTGATGGCAAAATTATGTAGCGCCTTGGGTATGTTATGGCGCATTGTAAAACACAAAAACTCTTGCCATTCTAATTATTATCATTTTTGATGATCTTTTTTATTTTAAAAATCATATAACTATTTTTTTTTCGAGACATTGCAGCAAATTAAATTTTCCTCCTACGTTGTGAGTGATTACAAACATACAGTTTCACATACACAAGACACCTAGAGTCGAATCCGCGACACGTTGCGCGGCAGCCAGTTGCCAAGCCACTGCGCCAACCGTGCAGTTGATTTTATTTTATTTTATTGACATGTGGTAGGTATGTAAATAGAGTAAAATATTTTGTGCATTAAAAATAGTTCATAAATCATAATCAACGTTTTCATCGCGCGTTGTGATAAGGTAGGATATAAAAATCGGGTCGCACAAATCCAACATTTTAATATAAACAAAACTTGAAGGTGGGGGGAGGGGGAGGGGGGTGCGAGGTGGTGCGGTAAGATTGGTTGTTTGTGATAGATTTTTTTTAGTATTTGAGTTTGGTATATTGTCAACATGTATCAAATACTGACTGACAAGAGTGTCTAATGCAAGTTACGCGAGTTTGCTTTGACAACGTTCCACGTCTGATAGGCCTTGAGCAATCAATCAGACTTTAATTTCGTTGAATGTCATAATCGTGCTAACGTAAAGCAATCTCGCATTAACAAAGTAAAGGTTTTCAGAACTAACTTCGGTGCGGGGACAACAGATCCTTTATGTATCCATCCCATGACGTGCCATACAAATCCAGGTTTAATTCAGTACGAGAAATATTCATCACATTGGTTTAATTAAAAAGCGAACCAACTCTTTGTTATAATTATTAACTTCAAATACGATGTGCGCGTGTGTGACAAATAATTCGAGTATTCACAACACTTTACGAGTATATACATACAAATCTTAATTGGCTTGTTTCCACAGTTAAAAAAGAAATTATTTCACCGTATAAAACTATAAAAATACTGAAAAACAATCATACCTTCATTCATTACTTTACGATTTACTTTATATTCGTATTTTTATAATTAATTCAAAAGAAATAAGTATACTATTTGACATTCAAATATTATGACGTTACAGCGTGTTATTTCATACGAGATTTATAGAAAATTGTCGTTTTTGACATTTCGATAAACGTATTGAATTTGACTTGTTGGAAATTCCCACTTTTCACTGTCTATATATTTGTATTAAAAAAATTTTACTGCGATCCGAATAAAATGTTGCGTTTTTTATTATAAAATCACCCTGTGATCTTGCAAATGGAAGTAATAATAAACATAAAAACATGTGAACATATGGATGCAATCCATACTTACAACCTTATGCGTTTATAATATTAGTAGGATAATATTGTAATAAATTGACATTCTGATTCACAGATTTTATTTTATGAGGGATCTAGCTTTTTAAGAGGTCTTATGTAATAACACTTTCAAATATATTTTTTACTTATCGGTTACCAATATTTTACAATATTGGGTAGCACCATGTTCTGTTGTTCGTCACATCACTGGATTAAATAATTTTCATTAAATTATGATAATTTCTCAAACCGACATTTTTGTATAAGGCTTTGGAACCGAACCCACTTCTGATGCATACCAATTGAAATAACCTGACCGATTTTTATAGGCACGTTGGTGTATTGATGTGTTGATAGATTGACGGTGTGTTTTGATATCAAAATTTTCTTGAGTTTGACTTCCAGTGTTGGACTTCCGACTTTCTTTTTAGAATGGATTGTGGAGTAAAAGTTATTAACACGTAGCCTCGCGATGTCAAGTTGCTTGCCAACTAGTGTGTGCTGTACTGGAACTGTCTTTGTGTCATTCAACCGCTCGTGCTTCTGCGAGTACTGCTCGCGCTTGTTCTATCGCTTTCCTGAAAAGAAGGTATATATAAAACGAATGGAAGATTAAAACGCTGCTCTTTAAGAAGTTATCACGTTCCATGAAAATGTTGACCACTACAAATAAACTAGGGCCGCCTGGACGGTGTGTAGTGGTGTATCGGGGTACTCACAGATGCATGGGGTTGTCGGCGTCGAGTCGCTGCAGCGCGAGCGCGGCCAGCTGGGCGAGGCGGCGCAGGGCGCGGCGGCGCAGGTCGTCGGCGCCCCCGGCGGCGCGCGGCAGGGCGGCGCTCAGGGCGCTGGCGGCGCGCGACATGTGCGCCCCGCCCGCCGCGCCCGCGCCCGTACATAGTGTGTCTGATAAACGAACCAACCATGTACACCCACAAGTCTCAGTATCTTTATTCGGTTGCTATTAATATTACATTTTTACATTACCATTTCAATTGAAATAATAATCTTTTCATCCTTTTATGGTAGCTGGACTTTAAAAAAGATAAGTTGGCAGTTTGTCAGTTTGTTCAAAAAAGATGAGTTCGTATAGGTTCACATAGCCACCCGATTATATTTTGTAAGACACAACCTTGCCTTTGTCGCCTGGCTTGATTTAGGGATTCCAACGATATGTGTTATGTCTAATTCTGCCCAGGCGTTTGGAAGTTACGATGAAATAAGTCGAAAATCACATAAATACAATACCGCCGACGTATCTTGGCGAGTCTGAAGTTAACCGATTAGCTGCGCAGTACACAATTTTGTTCCCAAAAGATCCATTACGCAGACAAACGGCTAACTTCAGAGTCCGCAAGATACTTCGGCCGTACTGTACATACATGAACCCTAATAACATAGCACTCCTTTTTTGGGCAGTCGTGTAAAATGGAGGAATGGGCGCTATAGTAGGTACAGGTAGAATGGTATTAAGTGTTGAAGAGCCAAGCACGAATGGGTCGGCTCGACCGGAGTGATACCACGGCCTCACAGAACACCAGCATGAAACTACCACAGCGTTGTGTTTCCCTCCCCCTCCTCCATCCCTTCCCACATCTACAACCCTTATGCCCAAAAGGTCGGCAACATAACTCCTTTGGTTATGCGGGTGTCGATGGGCGGCGCCGATTGCCTACCACCAGGTAATCCGTCTGCTCGTTTACCGACTTATTCCATAAAAAAAGGAATGGATTATGTTACCGATGAGTGCGAGCACGAGTGGGTCGGGGCGCAGCAGCGCGGGCGGCGCGGCCAGGCACAGCGTCGCGCGCACCAGGCGGACGCCGGCGCCCAGGCAGCGACGCCAGAACACCGCGCCCGGGCCCTCCAGTATACTACACGACATATCTTCATTATATTTATTTATCTTTATATTTTCATTCATTCATTCACTTATGACGGCGGTAAGGCAGAATCAATTCGCCATTACAGCTAGTTCTATTGCGACGTCGAAAATTTTATCGAGATATTACATATGTTATGTAGTTGAGACCAGATAACGATGTTCTATGCCGAACGTGGTCATTTAACGGTGATAATATCGATGATCGAAGCAAAGTATTCGGCATGCAAATAGGTAAGAAAGCTGCAGGCTAGGCAACCGGTTGCGACGTAACGTGTTGCTTGTTCAATCCCGTACGGAATAACTCAATTGTTGTTCCGGGTCTGGGTATGATGTGTGAATTTTTATGTTTGTAATGCTTGAGCCACACTAACTAGCTGATGATATTAAACAACGAAAAACATATCATAAAAATCATTTGTTTGGTGATTAAATTACACACAGGATTGACGTCCATAATCGCGATAGTAATGGCAATCCCGTTAGTGTGGCCCAAGCATAAACGGACTTAGAAGACAGGAGAAAATATTATAGTATGGGGTAAGGTGTTTTTGTAGAAAAAGAAAGTGGTATATTACGCGGGGGGAAGCGTGGGCAGGAAGACGTCTGCGGCGAGGGAGTGCGCGAGACGCGCGCGTATGGCGGCGGCGAGCGAGCGCAGCGCGGGCGTGGCGGCGGGCAGCCGCGCCGCGCGCGTCATCTGCGCGCGCAGCCGCACGCACGCGCGCACGCTCAGCGGGTCCCACGCGTCACGCACCAACTCTGCGCACAACACGCACAAGTCAAAAGTCAAAAGTCAAAAATCATTTATTCCAATTAGACCTTTACAGGCACTTTTGAACGTCAAACAAAAATTTTGAAGATATAGTGTCAGTCTGTCGGTCAGTCCTCTTAGTGAAGCTATTTACTCGTTCCAAAGTGTAGTAGACACACTCTACTCTATACACACAATACGGTACTTTCCAACTAGTCAAATTCAATCATCATCATCATCAGCCTTTAAGTCCCACTGCCGAGCAAAGACCTCTTCTCACACGGAGAAGATTAGAGCAGTAATCGACACGCTTGCTCAATACGGGTTGGCGATTTCAAACTTATAATTAGAAATTGTAAGTCCAGGTTTCCTCACGATGTTTACCTTCACCGTATGTCAGTGGTGTCTAAATAATCATAGAAAGTACAATTATAACTTGTAAAAAGTCACATTGGTACTTGCCAGGTTTCGAACCCACACCCACAAAGGAGCCCGCTTCTCATGTTTGACATGAGAAGCGGACTCCTTAACCTCCAGGCCACCACGACTTTTTCAAGTCTTAGTCAAATTCAATACTTTTATCCAAATGTCCAAAACTCTATGAAATACTGAGTTATGACGTCATAGTATTTTTAACGTCAAATTGCTTACTTATTTCTTAAAAATTTGCTAAAATTTTATCTAAAATTTAGTGTATCCATCGATCGATGCATGAAAGTGCTTATAGTTATTTTTCTATATTATATTGTATTCAAACGTCGAATTAATTTATTTTTGACCTAGGAAACTACCTATATGTTAGTCTGTGCATAAAGGTAACTGAGTGCTCGTTCGTATATCCTCCACTATACGTGGAGTATATCTAACCAAGCTATCTAACAAGCACTGCAATATTAAAAACTTTATAGATAAAAATAACCATAAAATGTCAGCAATCGCAAACAACACAACAGATAGAAACAATAGCTGTGTGTGCCTCCAGCATGAGTTAAACACATTACATACAATTTGCAAGTATGTATACCTGTGAGTTTAGGCAGCACCACCTTATTGATGATGGTAGGCACCAGCATGAGGTCCGGGTCCTCCCTGACGGAGTTCTCGGTCACGGGGACCGGCTCTATTTCCCCGTCCGACGCGGACTCCGAGGAGTCGTGGCCTGATCGATCAGACCGAACGCCATACATCATCAGAGATCTAGACAAAATCATTCACTTTGATGAACAAAAGGCGCATAAATGTCTCAATACTATTTGTATGATCTACATTTTTTTCGTGTCTGGTTGTAATGTGTTCTTAGACTTTAATGTTTAAACCATTTAATTAGCTACACATGCATAATTTTCATTACAACTTTCGTGAGACATTCTAAATTAATTATTATGTTTTCGAGTAGCCAGTAGCAGCGCGACAGTCGCCCAGTCGCTGTCGCGGAATGCTGCTCATGAATATGGGCCTCTAGCATGGCTTGAAACTAGTCGAGTATCTCGTCAAATTTTTACGTGAGTAAGCCGAAAACATAATAATTAATTTACACATGCATAAGTTGAAAATGTAAAAAAATAAACATTACACAAAAAATAAAAATATATTAGTGTATTCACGGAGACGAGTTAGTAGAGCGCTATCTTACTCACACATTTTTTTAACTGCGCACATAGGAGTATTTAACACAAAAAGTCGATCAAAAGTCGAATATTACAAAGTATTAATAGAAGGTAGTTTTTGCTACCTGGTAAAACGGTAGGGTCGGGGGGACAATAAACCGCTCGACTCTCTTTTGTTCTTGCTAAAATTCCGTTCACAATTAGTCGTCTTTCTAACGCAAGCTTCATCGCACGAACTTAATACGCAGTGAAAGTGAGTCAACTTAATTGTTAAAAATAAGCGTGACAGTTAGATTACTCGGAATAAATCATATTTTAGTTATGGACGGTGCAGAACAAGGTATGTAAAATTTATCTTACTATTTTTTTTCGTAATATATACCTTTAACAATTATTTACTCCATCTTTTATGGGGTACATTAAAATGATGAGTCGATTTTAGCCTTTTCCAATATTTCAAAGTCTTTTTGTTGTATTTCCGGACTTTTCCCGGGTCAAATTCTTTTTTCATCTTATTGTTAGATATGTATAGTAGAAATTTAAAAAGAAAATAGCTGCCAACATGTGCCAAAATGAAAACATTTTGAAAATTAAGTGCATGTGGTATTTACAAAAACAAACTTTATTTTGCGGTCACTTACGTTAATTTCAGATTTCTCTTGTTGTAGGTTCTGTTGGTACATAGGTCGAGACGCGAAATTATGTTTTCCGAAAATTGAGGGAATATACTGAACCAGATTTCGGAAAAAACTTGGATTTATTGGAGTTTGAAATAATTAATGACTCTTCATTCCCAACTGATCAAAAATCGTTCATTCATCGTTCAATCGTTCATCAAAGTTTATTCAAACATTTTCTCGTCTCAAGTCTGTAATGAAGTCTAATTGGCAGACAGCAAAGCGAACAGAAAGTGTATTTTTGAAAAAATACCATGATTGGTTACAAGGCTCTCTTGAAATACCGAAAAAAAATTGAAAATCCAGATACGGAAGATGTATGTAGAAAAATACTCATGGTATCCAATGACTTCACAAAATTTTAATACATGGGCCTACAGTTATTAGACACGCCATACTACCAATAGGGGCATTATCAGAAGAAGCTGCAGAGGCCCGTAATAAACATTTTAGAAAATTCAGGGACCAATATGCAAGAAAATTCAGTAGAACTGACTGTAATATGGATGTCTTAAATAGATTATTATTAACTTCAGACCCATATTTGACAAGTATTAGACGAAAAGTGTCTAAAAAATCAATACATTTTAAACTAGAAACTAGATTAACGTTAATGTGCTACGAAGTTGATAAGGATAAAGGGAATGCAGAAGATAGTGAACATGATTCAGATGAAGAAGAGTAGTTATAACTTATAAGCGATTTAAATAATTTTATAGTTTATAAGTTTTTAATTAATACGTCTAAATTGTTAGTGATTGCAATAAACAAATCACTTATTTCAAATTCCTGTTAAAAAATATATATTAAAATAGTTTTTTCTAACTTTTTGAGTACATTTTAATGCCAAGAAATAAATTATAGCAAATAAATAATTTTGATCGACTTTATTGATCAAATACCCCTATGTGCTGCGATTGGTCAGTGATAAATGCTAAAGCGGTGTACACAGTACGAGTACTTTTTAGTCTACTCATACTTACCGTATTGAGTACGGAGAGTGATGGTGATGATGATATGTTATGAAAATGTATAGGTAGATATTATAATATAATAAAGAAAATATAATCATTAACTCTCGATTTTATTTCTTTCCTTCATATTCATCAGATAAATAAAAAAGTAGGCAACAATAAACAAACTCTATCAAAATGTCTCTCAATTAATACGATAAACGAAGCTGCAAGGAAAAACTAAGCGTACTTTTAAGAAGCGCAGTGTGAACGCACGTTTACATTTCTAAGGTATTGTTAACGCCCACTGATCCTAAAAAAGTTTTTTTTGTCTTTGTCATTTGTATAAAAATGTGCAATAGAGAAGGCGCTATACTAACTCGTCACCGTGAATACACTATAGTGCAGCACTGGTTTTCAGATGGCCCCTGACTGTTGGGGTAATAAACACAGCAGCGCGCACACGATATGTTTGTGAATGCACCCACAGTATATATGAGAAATTTCCAGAGAGGAGAAACTTTTCTCTTTTTAAGTCAGTGTGGATTCTGAAACCGCAAACGGAAATAAGACAATTGCAAGTTAATAAGGTATTTGCTCACTTGTACCAATCCATCTTCTCGTAGTCTTCATTGTCTTCGTCTGCGAGCGGGTTCCAGAGTATTAACTGTAGACAACAATATAGTTGGGGTGATCTATATATAGAATATTTATTTTATCGGAATACGGTGTTGCTACCCGATAATTCACGCCTAACTGAACATGTCAAATAATTCTAATGATAGTCGAAAGACTTCAATACTTATAAAAACAAAATGAACTTCATCAAAAACCTTAATAAAATTATTACTGGTGTGGATAATATGTATATCACAAATAACCATAGACCACTAAATAATTTTAAAAAAAATACGTTACGCGCCTTTATTTAAATGTGCAAAATAAATAAATGTATATTTTTCTGAGATATATTAATAACATTTTTCCTTTAGGAACCTCCTACAGAGTCAGAATATAAAAAAACTACAAAATAAAATCAGCCAAATTGGTCTGGGCATTTTCATGTTACGGCGTAACAATGGAATTAATTATTTATCATTTATAATCCTTTGGGCTATGTCGATGAATTTAGTTCTCTGTCGGATCACCTCGTTTCGAATACGATATTTCAGAGTGACTCCAAGCATAGCTCTTTATAGCATAGCTCGCTGTTATGGACACAGCCGAAAGGATTAGCAAACTGAAGTGGCAAGTAACATTTGTCGAAGAAACGATGAACGTTGAGGTAAATGTGTTCTAGAGCCCTCTAGCTAGATGGACTGACGACATCCGCAGGGTGGCTGGCAGTATTTGGATGAGAAGAGCTGAACATCGAGCTCAGTGGCGTGCAATTGAGGAGGCCTACGTCAAGCAGTGGACGACATCAGGCTGATGAATAATCATTTATATATGAATATGGAAGGAGTGGGAGGTGAGTAGGTAGGTACCTCGTGTCGCACGTAGGGCGCGAGCAGCTTGGGCAGCGAGTGCGGCAGGTAGGCGTCGGCGTAGAGCGCGGCCGCCCCGGCGCGCCACCGCGCCAGTCGACGCGCCACGCCGCGCGCGCTGCGCCACGCGAACAGCGCGTCGCAGAACAACGCGCGAGACGCCGCGCGGATGCTCTCTGCCGGACACATTTACAACGTTTACACACCGACATCTTTATATACATACTAGATACTCTTGCGCGGTTTCACTCATTGCTCAGCTCCATTTGATCGTAGCGTGATGTTTTTTCCTACAAATTTTACCTCTTTATAGTATTAGTAGAGATGATTCTGCTGTACGTGTGTATGTCATTGAACTCCTCCTAAACGGCTTGACCGATTTAAATTATTTTTTCTGTATGTGTTTGAGTGGTACCTTGAATAATTTAGATTCACAAGTCATGACGGCACATGGGGCTGATTGCGTGAAAAAGCATAATATGATTATGAACTCGGTAACAGCCCTAACGATTTCGCTAAAATTTGATATATTAAGGTTTTTACGGAGGGTCCATTAGTACTAATGTGAAGTCTAAGTAAGAGGTGTGTGTATAAGGCGGCGATACCCCTTTCTTGCGTGTAGTGGTGCAGCTCGTGGGGGGGCAGGTCGTCGTCGGAGGAGTCCCCGTCGCGGTGCGGCAGGGCGGCGCCGGCGGCGGCGGCGGCCGCCTCCCGCTTGAGGCGGCGCGCGCGCCTCCGCCCCTCGCGCTCCGCTGCCCGCCGCGTCTTCTCTTCGTTCTCCGTCGCCTTTGTGGCCCGACCTTCAAAATTTAATCAAACATAGATATATATCCATACATTAACTCGTATTTATCCTATAGAGAGTGGACAGAAATCTCTACAATCCTAGCTTAAACGTCACAAATACGTTTGTAAAGATATATCGATGTATTTATATATTTATTTGATGCTCTTTCCCAGAAAAAGTAATTGAACAAATATGAATATTGGCACAGATTGACATTGAATGAAAAAAGTATTGGGATCGGACGATTCGTTGGATTCGTTTGATTCCATACATATTCAAATATTTCATTTCTTTGGCACAACAATTTCCCATTTTAGCGATGAATTTGGGTTTCATCTGTTATTCATATTAAATACAGTGTTGTTTTTAGTTAAATCATATCTAGTGTGCATTGCAAATTTCTTAATAAACAACGCCAATGGAAATTTGTGTTTAGTCACTGAAAATGTTACAGAAAGTTTGCGGTGAATCGACTTATCAAAAACACGTCTTTATAATTGCGAACGATGCATTTTTTTTTGTTATGTGATAGGTCTGCAAACGAGCAAACTGATTACCTTTTGGGGATTAGGGATTTGGAGATTTTGGGAAAGGGATACAAGATGAGCCTCGTTCTAGTAGGCCCAACCTCTGCATCTGAAGTTAACATCGCAAAAGAGCCTAAAAATCCTCGTTTAAGTTTCCGAGCTGCCGAACTTTATGTATCTCACGAGTCGATCTGTGCCATATATGTGATATTTTAACAAATCGTTTAGGTTTTAAACCCATGTTGTCACTTGGTGAGTCCAAACAGTCTTGAATATTCCCCAAAAATCGGATTATTCATTGGCGTAAGCCTCTTCATCAGACTGCACGGTTCTGGTCCCGCACGAAACAACTCTTTGTGTGATCCACAAATTGTTGTTCCGGGTCTGGGTGTGAAATTGTATATTTGTAAACGCACCCACGACACAGGAAAAAAATCGTAAAGAGGGGCAACGTTTAAAACATTGATACGTTATTGAGTGGCATACTTTGAAGATGAAAAATAGAGTATTATGATATATTTTTCTTGTGTTTAGTTAACAGAGTACAGTACGGCCGCCGTATCTTGGCAAGTCTGAAGTTAGCCGTTTGTCTGCGCAATAGATCTTTTGGGAACAAAATTGTGTACTGCGCAGCTAATCGGCTAACTTCAGACTCGCCAAGATACGTCGGCGGTATTGTAGTATAATGGACTGGGATTGTATGTAGTGCCACAAGCAGTAAGATAGAGTATGTACCGGGCGGCGCGAGTACGTCCTGCGCCTGGTCGCGCAGGTCGGCGCGGCGGCGCTCGATGATGAACTCGCAGCGTCGCCGGTGCAGCGCCAGGGCGCGCGCCTCCAGCGCCTCCAGCTGGGGCAACTGACGGACAGACACACGCTTTATTATACTACTAGCTTTTGCCCACGACCCCGTTTGCGTGGAACAGTGACTTCCTGCTAATTTTTGATATAAAAAATATCCTATATCCTTTCTCAAGTTCTAAAATGTCTACCATGTGTACCAAATTTCACAGATATCAGTTGAGTAGTTTAGGCGTGAAGAAAGACAGACACACATACAAACAGAGTTACTTTCGCATTTATAAAATTAGCATAGAAGTATAGACTAGTATAGATTACATTCATTACTTCAATTAAAATAATTTTTATTTTTTGAAAATCATGGATCACATTTTATAAAGTTAACTCAATTGTTTTATATAAATTTTAACTTAATTACATTTATAAGAAAAACCTTAATCTAGATTATTTTGAAATCTCAAGTATTACGGATCACCTAAACTACATTTATTTAAACCTGTTGTTCAGGGTTGCAGTTGTCATGGTGGCCCTCTGGTGTAGGTGCCCGCTTCATGTGTGAGGGTGCCTTTTTCCCAGTTATATGTACTTTCTATTACTTAGACACAACTGATATACGGTGAAGGAAATCATCGTGACGAAACCTGAGCTTTATATCTCAAATTAGAAGTTTGAAAAGTGTGGTGATTAATACTCAAACCTCCGTGTGAGAAGCAGTGGGCACTTATAGGCTAATGATGATGATGATGATGATTAATAACTAGAATATTAAAAATGTCTTAGAGTGCAGTTTGTTTAAGGATCACTTACTTTCTCATCGAGGCACTCAATAAGGTCGGTGAGGTACCCGCGTATGGCCTGCGCGCGCCGGTACGCGGCGTCCAGTTCCCCGCAGCGCGACGCCCGACTCTCCCGTATCCGGGCCGAGGTCAACAACCTCTCCTTCAACTCTTTCTGTGTGTTTAACGTTACGTCCCTCTCGACTTGAAGCTCTTCCAATCTGTACAAATAAGTATTTATTCATAAATCTTTCCCAATAGGCCAGATAGCAAGCATTCCAAATAAGTATTATTTTCTATGTATGTAAATACTTTGAAAGCTGGAAGAAAAGTGACTTTACATATACATATTTATGTAAATTCAGTTTCATCTAATAATTATATTCTTGTCATTTTAACTTTCATTCACGATAAATAAGTTTTCTAAGCAAAAACGATTATCTATATCATGTTTGAGATGACTTAATTCTGACGTCTTTGTACTCCTTTTTTATAAATAAGACTGATTAGTTAAATGTAAAAACTATGTATAATAATTACATAGAGCACTTTTTTACCGTTTCTTAAGTGCATCTACAAGTTCGTTAGCCGTTGTTGGTGGTTGTGTGTCTGTCGTTGTGAGTGGCCGTAGATGCTCTGGAGCCGACATCTGAGGTGCAGGCAGAGCTACAGAGAACGGATTCACGTCCATAACGCCCTCACCTATAACAACCAATATTTATTAGAGTATATTCATGTTTATATAAGCATCACAATTTATAATCACCACTCACTTTATGAGGCTAACAATAATGAAAAGTCACTATTATTTGTGTCATCTTTTATTACCAAACTTTGTCCTAGGCTTGTTGTGAGAGTCCCACAAAATGAAATAATATTACTACTTAAAAAGAAGTTTTCCATTTCAAATCCCTAAAAGAGCGGGATTTGCAACTCGTCTTCTGGTGTTGCGAAGGTCAAGGACGGCTGTAACGGCTTAGACAACAGGTGATCAGCCGGTTTAATTAACATAAAAATAGTTGTAACGAGTTTCTTTCGAAAATAGAAACTGATTTAGAGATTTTAGATGTAGATCGGTTATAAATACCGCCATTACTGTATACGGTACATTTGGCGAGTCGTCCTGGATAGTATAGAATGTCATCAGACCAGAGAGATCCACGATGACGGGCCTCGCTTTCTGTAACTGCTGCTCCTCCCACTCCTCAGCCTCGCTGTCCAGTTCTTCCTCTGACGCCGCTGCCGTGCCACCTGAAGCAAATCAACGAATTAACACATAATATGGCAATACGCCGACGCATTCGTGCACACGTTCCATTTAGTACATGGCGTGTCCCTCGCTCGGTCAATCTGGAAAGTTTATTAAGTAATACACTATTAATATTTTATTAATGCACGGCTGGCGCAGTTGCTGGGCAGCTAGTTGCTGTGCAGAAAGGGTCTGGGTGTCATGTGTATGTGATTTTCTATAATTCTTCTCAGGACACAGGAGAGAAACATAATAAAACTTATAGTGGTACTCATTTTATGAATAAAGTATGAGGTTCCAAAGATTACCCCCTACATACAAACTTACAAATTTTGCCTCTTTATAATATTAGTATTTCTATACTAATATTGTAAAGAGTAAAGAATAGATAAAATATGAGTTATGCAGGTACTCACGTTTGGGCTTATCACTAGGAAGGTCGAGCCCTCTGACAAGTATTCTGCCCTCCTCTTCATCGTCACCAGAGCCATCATCTCTGACCAGCCTTGACCCAGGCCCCGACTCTGATGGCTTCACCGGAATATAGTCTCCGCCTAATTCGCGAGCCTAAAATCATTAATAATATTGGATTCCGGTATACGCAGCATGAGCTGGTGACAAGACCATTAACAAAAGCTTAAATGAAAAGAGAGGTTTTTTTGGTGTGGTGATAGGTTGGCAAACGAGTACACGGATTACCTGATTGTACGCAATCAGGGGGGAAGGATTGGGCCTCCGGTAACTTCACTCACATGGCGAAACACAAAGCTGTGGTTGTTTCACGCCGGTTTTCTGTGAGGCCGTGGTATCACTCCGGTCGAGCCGACCCATTTGTGCCGAAGCATGGCTCTCCCACACTTTAAGGTCAATTTAATTCAAAGAACATTGGGTGGTATGGCGATAAAAAAAAACACCTTTGAAAAAAGCTATCTCAGGTAGGTCTTGCCATCAGCACAGATAAACAAATACCAATAATACAGCTATAATATAACCTGTGAAATAAAGTTAAGGGTATAACGACCACCTCGTGTTATCTGCTTTTTTATTGGGCAACATAAAGTTTATTAAAAACACTCACTAGTAAGATAATGAAAAGAAATTAAATTCAAAAATTGAAGACAGTGAAAGTAACATTTCCAGAAACAAAGATCACTTTGAGGTCTTTGATGAATTTAGCATAATGCTGGAAGACTTAAGCTATATTAATTAGGTACCTTATGTAATGTCTAAAAACAAAAATAGCAGCTTTGTAACACATTACCAACGTAGTAGTCATCGGGTTGGCGAATCAACGTTGAAGTGTGCAGGGTCGCACCTACCACGAGTAGAGCAATCAAGATACGCGCAAGTAGACGACGATGAACCGCAGTCAGGTGCCGGCCAGCGCTAGTCCCTCACCTCTCATACCTGCTGTCTGGTCTTGCGTGCGGCGTGGATGAGCGCGGCGTCAGGAATGCGGCCCGGCGCCCCCAACAGCGCAGCTCTCACGGACTCCGCGCGGTACCGATGGAACCCCCTTTCGTCCTCCTCGGCCTCCTCGTCCGCGCCCGCGCTGTCGTCCGACACGTCTCCCGTCCCGTCTGCTGCCAGCGCCTCCCGTCCGGACAGTATCAGCCCCTCTAACGTCACCTTCTTCTTCGGTTTCGGTTTCTCACTATTCTCCTCTGTGTGGTTGTTCTTTTCCTAGATTTATATTTGTTTTACAGTATTATTGTTGTTGTTGTTGTAAATTTAGCAATTAAAATATATTCTTGTCTAAGTAACAATTTGTGTTCATTTCAGATGACTTACCACACACATTTTTGTCATGGAGCCAATAGTTACTATTTAACAAATTGAATAAATCAACAAGAATAGAGGAAGTAATACTTCACTTTACATGGCACCTATTGAAACTATACAAGAGAACACTTTTTGCCTCACTGTAGCCCTGTTGTATTCCTATCATACAGCCTTCTTTATGTTTTCGGTTTAATGTTTGTAACAATGAGGACTAGGCCTGCTGTGTGTCTACAAAGACCATCTCCAATAAGTGTTAGTGTGATTCCTGCTAAAGTCCACCTTACCTCCGGCATGCTACTCTCATATTTGTAACTATCACCATCTGTTCTCACATCTTTCTTCTGTTTTTCTTTCTCTCTCTTCTTAGCCAGTCTTTTACTTTGAGATGACTTCTTCACTTTAAAAACTTCTCCTTCTTCCTCTGCAAATAAAATACATGTTGTGCATATTTTTTTGAGAAGCACAAATTTTACATTTATTTTAGGTATTACATTAATTTCTCATCTGCCAATACCTATATAAGACACAATAGAAAAAACATTGTTTATTTATATGTTCCAGTATACCACAGGTTAAAAATCTTGTTTGTTTCTCTTTTCTCAATGTCATATCTGAATTATTCTACTCTTAAAATTATTAAAAACTTTGTAAGAGTATATGGATGTATGTCATGTTGGTTTGTTACTCTTTTATACAAAGAAATAAAAGTTATGAGTGATGTGAAGCTTCATTTTATCTCAGCAATGCCAGCAAAACCTCTGACATTAGCCAGTTAAATTACAATGCTATTCATTATTTTGTTAACACATTTTCTTATGTTTTTTTTATTTAAAAAAGAACAAATTGTACCTTTTATGCAATAATATTGATTATTCTTATGTTTTTTATTTTTTTATTCCACCATTCACATTGATTATTCCACCCATTCCCTGAGTGGAAGACCCTTAGGAGTTAAAAGAAGTATTGTCTCAAAAGATATGTGACAAAACAATTGTATTCTTTAAAAACAAAGTTTTGTGTTTCACACACCTATCACTACCTTCCCCATGAAAATGAAGGTATTTTAAAACACCAATGTGTTGATCAATACAATGGAAACAATCAAATCTTTCCTCAACCCTATATTATATATTATTATATGTATAATCTTTAAACACAAAACCTCTTATTGAGACTTAATTCATGGAACCCAAGGCAAACACCATTAACACACCAGACCTATTGTGCTTCAATTCTGTCTCAAATTGCCATGATTGAAAGTTAACCATGATATTTAGGAATCCCCAGATACTTACCGTCATTTTTAGACCTAAAAACCTGTAGTATATAATTTCATTTTGATATGGAAGGCTCTGGGATTTTTTTGTGCAGATTACATTATTGGAATTACAGTTTGGAGCCCTATCTTTTAGAAGGATTTGATAATGACTATGTCCACTGAAGACGAATAGATTTTAAACAATAAAATAATATTTCAAATCATAAGTTTCGGATCCTGTTCAATTCAAACAAACATTTTCTTTTCTCTTCATAATATTAGTGTATTTAGTATAGAAGTGGACACAGATCAGAAAGTAGTCCCTTAGAGACATGTTAGTATGAAGTAGTTTCAATACAATGAGTGTTTAGTAGAAATATTAATGAATACATAGAGTAAATAAACCAATCTTTTTAACTTCATTCATATCAAACTATTGTTATTGGATTGGGCTTTTAACCCTGTAACAAGCCATTAGTTTACCTTCGTCAGCGAAACTCAATAGAGTAGTACTCTTCACTGATTTGACTTCTTTCTTTTCCTTTTCTTTTTCCTGACTGATGACTGGTGGCGGCGGCGCCTCAGGTTCCCCATCCTCGTCATCATCAGCACAAAACATACGACGTTGAATTTTTTTCGGCTTTCGAAACAATGACATATTGTACTTTATACACTACAAATACTTGTTAAAACTGAACACTGAAGTAGCGATAAGTGAATAGATTTGCAATTTATTTTTGGTTAGTTTAATGTTTCATTATCAAACTGAGACAGAATGTCATTCCATTCCTTAATTGAGTTGAACACCACAGATTACCACATACTAGTCAGAGAACACCACAGATTACTACTATATAATACACATTTAGTCGATTAATTACAAAATTCAAAAAGCTTTTAAATAGCAGCAGCAATGTACTTACACTATACACACATATTATATTTGTAAATGATCCTACTTATGTACGAAATAGCCGTAAATTGCTGAACTTAACAAATCGTGATTTGGTTTTGCACGTATGATTGAAAACATAACTCTTCATAAAATTGTAATTACTTTTAATTTAATTTACTGCATATTTGATGAAGTCAAATTTTCGATTTCACCGTCGACTACCAATTTATTATGATAATAAAATTTGAAGTTACAATAAATTGTAGGAGAAGTCGGTTAGTAAAAGTGCAATTTATTCATCCATCCAGATTTAATTTATCAATATAAATAATAAAATAAGAATACGAATACATATAAAATCTATCTGCAGAATTTTAAACTTTTAGTCGATTTTCAGTTGCAATGTCATAGAAATGTCAACCTTAGCTTAAACTATGTGTCGTATGATTATGCCCAACTCTATCTCTATCATTTGTTGTCCCGCACTGAGTTAAGTGCGTTTGGTTTTGGTGAGTTTTTAATTAAATAAATCTTAAATTATTTCATCAATCATGTGTTCAAAATTAATAATGCAGTGTACTTTGTCGATAAATAGTATAAATACATGTACGCAACGAATATTTCACGTATAAATTATAAATATGTGACGCATCGTTACAATTGTATGATTTTCTTTTACAGTCCTTAAATTTCTACGAAGTCCCTACACCACACGCCAAGATGGGTAGGGAGGACAAGGCTACCTGGAAGACTAACTACTTCACTAAAATCATCGTAAGTGTTCGATTCTAAACTTTCTAACTATCCTAACCTCATTAACTACATGCCTTGTTTATTGCTAGAAAATATAATTTAAACAAGATTACTCTTACGAGATTTTCTCATGAGCTTCAAACTGAATATTGTTTATGATGTAGTGAACATTTTTTGCGAGTAGATTAGTCATACTGATAGTTCAGCTGGCACATGTGATGGCCTAAAAGCCGTCCTTGCTATATCCATAGTGCCTATAGGGTTTTATGTGCCTATAGTTATGTATCTGTAATAATGTTTCAATAAGTTGCTCATTATTCATGTCAGCATAACTACTAACCAAATTAAAATTTTATCTTTATGTGGATAAATTCAGTCTATATATCCCCGTATTGGAGACATTCACGAAATTTACTTAGGAGAAACTTCATGATGATGTTTTATTTATACAGCAACTCTTAGACGAGTACCCAAAATGTTTCATCGTGGGTGCAGACAACGTAGGCTCGACCCAAATGCAGCAGATCCGTATCTCGCTGCGTGGTCACAGCATTGTCCTTATGGGCAAGAACACCATGATGCGCAAAGCCATCAAGGACCACTTGGACACCAACCCAGCTCTTGAGAAACTGTTGCCGCACATCAAGGGCAATGTTGGCTTCGTGTTCACCCGCGGAGACCTTGTTGATGTTCGTGACAAGCTGCTGGAGAACAAAGTCCGTGCCCCTGCTCGTCCTGGTGCAATTGCCCCTCTGTCCGTCGTCATCCCCGCCCACAACACCGGTCTGGGTCCTGAGAAGACTTCTTTCTTCCAGGCTCTCTCTATTCCCACCAAGATCTCCAAGGGTAAGCATTCTTATTATTTACTATTACGTCTGTTCTAATACCATAGAACTGTATATTAGTTCTATGGCTTCGCTTTCAGACAAAATTAAATTCTTCAAATTTATCCTGGTGTGAGATTGTAATCAATGAACTTTGCACCGGCATTTTGAGGATACAAAAACTTGTTTAATCTATAATCTTTAACTTCAAAATTTATTTAAACTTTGTCTTTACTATTCACATTTGACTGAATCTTTTGTAAATGTTTCCAGGTACCATTGAAATCATCAACGATGTTCACATCCTGAAGCCTGGTGACAAGGTTGGTGCTTCTGAGGCCACCCTTCTTAACATGTTGAACATCTCCCCCTTCTCGTACGGTCTTGTGGTCAAGCAGGTCAGTATTTTTCCTTTTTATATACTTCATCTTATTGTTTAATTTTAATTCATATTATTATTATTCATAATTAAGACACCATGAATTACATTTGATTCAAGGGTCCAAAGTGTTGAGTACAGTCTGCACATATTCATGCATTCTGATAATTTATCTTTGGGAAAGTATTTGCTGTGTTGATCTTAGGACTATCTTGGCATCTAAATTTAGTCCAAAGTTTACAGCAGACACTTAATTAAACATCGTAATAGAATACCCTAACTTTATACATATATCACACAAAAAAATACTTAGCTTTATACTCACTGAATTGTTTCATACAGGTCTATGATTCTGGCACTATCTTCGCACCAGCTATCTTGGACATCAAGCCAGAGGATCTGCGTGAGAAGTTCATGGCCGGTGTTGCCAATGTAGCTGCACTGTCTTTGGCTATTGGTTACCCAACTTTGGCCTCTGCTCCTCACTCCATTGTCAATGGATTCAAGAACTTGCTCGCCATTGCCGCCGTTACAGAGGTTGAGTTCAAGGAGGCTCAAACCATCAAGGAGTTCATCAAGGTAATTGTAACATAGTTTGGTATTTATTTAATTTCAAATATTAGATAAGTAGTAATACATATTTGTCTGTTCTAATACCAGAGAACTTTATATTGGTTCTATGGCTTCGCTTTCAGACAAAATTAAATTCTTCAAAATTATCCTAGTGTAATCTTTATTAAAGAAGATTGCACTGGCAATTTGCAGAAACAAACTTTTTATTAAAGTTTTCTAACAATCAATAGTTTAAAGATATATTAATAATGTATATGTATGTGAGAGATATTAATTATGTATATGTATCCCAGGACCCCAGCAAGTTCGCCGCCGCCGCCGCTCCCGCTGCTGCAGCTGCTGCCCCGGCCGCTGCTGCTGTTGAGGAGAAGAAGGAGGAGAAAGAAGAGTCAGAGAGTGACGACGACATGGGCTTTGGTCTCTTTGACTAAGCCTGTTCGAGAGGTCGAGACTACCCGGACAAGACCGATAGGCGTGTAGGAACTGTCTGGAATGTCAAAGCCTCTTCGTCGAGCCCGTGGCTGCAACACGTATGGGAACGGTCAACGCCGCCGGGTCTGGACACCCATATGGCGGCCGGCTTGTTCTACATTTTGTGCTTGTAATAAATGCCACTTGAATTAAATCTTTTGTTTCAATCACTGTATGCTGTTATCACGCTAAAATCAACTTGTCTTATCCTATTTTTATTTTACTATTCAGATTTTCCCACAATTATGACGACTACATAAACAACAGTACCTAAAGATCCGATCCATGTTCGGTTGTACAGACATCACTTAGAGATCCTAAAGAATAATTTGTAGGGGAATACGGTAGTTTCTAATTAGTCAAATTCAATACTTTTATTCAAATGTCAAAAACTATACTTTTCTATGATAGTCATAGAATTTATTCGGCAAATAGCCACCTACTTAATCTTAAAAATTTCTAAAATTTGCAATACTTTATTCAAAAAGAGAAATTCTAAAATTTGCAATATTGTATTGAAATGTCGAATTAGTAGATTTTTCCATAAAAAAAGGGGTGTCTTGATCGGGTAACTGTAATGTTTCAGCCATATAGGCTATAAAACATCATCATCACAGGACGTCCACTGCTGAACATAAGCCTCCTCCATTGACTTCCAGATAGGCCGGTTGGAAGCGACCTGCATCCAGCGGCTTCCTGCGACCTTAATCAGGTCGTCTGTCCACCTTACGGATGGACGTCCTACGCTGCGCTTGCCGGTACGTGGCCTCCACTCGAGAACCTTTCTGCCCCAGCGGCCGTCGGTTCTACGCGCTATGTGCCCTGCCCATTGCCACTTCAACTTACTAATCCGCTGGGCTATGTCGGAAACCTTTGTTCGTTTGCGGACATCCTCGTTTTTTATACGGTCTCGCAAAGAAACTCCGAGCATAGCCCTTTCCATAGCGCGCTGAGCGACCTTGAGCTTCTTTATAAGGCCCACAGTAAGAGACCACGTTTCAGTTCTATAGATCATCGCTGGTAACACACATTGATTATAGACTTTCGTCTTAAGGCACTGAGGTTGGACGAGAAGATGTTGCGTAGTTTCCCGAACGCTGCCCATCCAAGTTGGATTCGACGATTGACCTCCTTCTCGAAATTGGACCTACCTAGCTGGATCACTTGTCCCAGGTATACATATTCGTCAACAACGCGTTACATGGGCGTTTGCCATGACTTTCGTCTTGTCCATGTTCATTCGGAGCCCTACCTGTTGAGAAACTCTACAGAGGTCATCGAGCATTGTGCTCAGATCTTCCAACGATTCTGCCATGACCACAATGTCGTCGGCAAACCGGAGGTGAGTGATATACTCGCCGTTGATGTTGATGCCAGATCCTTTCCATTCCAAGAGCTTGAAAGCGTCTTCCAATGCAGCGGTAAACAGTTTCGGAGATATGACGTCTCCTTGCTTTACACCTCGCTGCAGAGGAATATTCTTCGTGCTCTGGTTCTGTACTTGGACCGACATAGTGGCGTTTGTGTATAAGCACTTCAAAACCTCGATGTACCGAAAGTCAATATGGCACCGCTGGAGAGATCTTAACACAGCCCTCGATCGAATCAAAAGCCTTCTCATGGTCCACAAAAGCCAAGCATAGTGGCAAGTTATACTCCTCGGTCTTCTGTATAACTTGCCGCAGCGTATGGATGTGGTCTATGGTTTCCTTTCCGGAAACCGGCTTGTTCGGGATAAAACATCACGCTAAGATCAAATTTTGACTGCACGGTTGGCGCGGTGGCTGTCAACTGGCTGCCGTGCAATGTGTCGCGGGTTCGATTCCCGCACGGAACAACTCTGTGTGATCCACAAACTGTTGTTTTGGGTCTGGGTGTGATGTGTGTGTGAATTTGTATGTTGGTAAACGCACCCACGACACAGGATCAAAATCCTAGTGTCAACGTTTACTTTTTAGTAGGCAACGTTCAAAATTGAACCAAGCAGCGGGTCGCTCGAGAATAGCCTTTGTGTAAGCAGTCGAAAATAAAGACATTCACATTTATTACTTTATTTACCTAAATACTAAAATAGTCTTACAATAATCCTTCATAAACAAGTAACAAAATACAATTACCTATTAAATGGATAGGTTAATTTACTACATCATAGCGTGATGATATTTTACTAACAATTTTCTTGATAAAAAGCATAAGCGACAGACAGGCTGATTTACTAATTCGTCGCTTCGCAGGTGTCCGTTACCCAGGCCAGATGTTGTCGACAATGGTCATTTGAATCTTATAGATAATTAGTTGTGCGGCTTCTGTAATTGTTGCGCACATTTTTAAATTTGTTGCGCTTATAGTTGTTTAATTATTTCACAAAAACATTTCCTGCTGGCGTAACGTTACCACAGCCAGACCTTTTTCTTTCTAATGGGAATATTTAAATAAATATTAGCTATAAAATTAGTTGTCTAGATAAAGTAAATGTTGTGCCTTATTTTGTATTTGTTCTTTCTTCGGTTGCGAAGTTATTCGAGATTTTGCTGCGGTAACGTTTTTGGTTTTGCTAGATCTTTGAAATGGTTAAGCGGATTCTTATCATATTTTGTACACGACTTCCGAGGACTTAGTTTAAATTTGTTGTGCAATAACAAAACCAAAATAATGCATATTTTAAAGGTTTTTTCATTAAATAGAAAAACACTTCAATTGGCCTCAGCACTCTCAATAAGAAGTCTAAAGACTTACTTTCAACGTAATTTTAAAGCTTGTAACTGCCTTCAAATGTATATGAAGTTTCATTAGTATCCCGTAAGTATTTAACAAGTTATGATGATATTCAGTTCTTCACGAGCACGGTCTTAATGCACGCGGTGTTATTTGGCCACTGGATTGGATATATGAACTGAATGTTATGTCAATAATTAGTTGTTTAGATCAGTTGTATATCAGTAAAATTTCAGCTCAATACATTGGATAATTAATGAGATAATACTATTAAAGTCATTAAGAAGTGAATGACCGTGGTAAGCCGACCAAGTTTAGGTGGTTACGAAAAAGCGAAAACGCAGAACATTGTACTATCTTTTGAAATGATTAGTATAATACACCTTACAATTTTGGTACAGACGCGTACACTGTTAAATACCTATATAATAATAATATGAAAGAAAACATTATCTTCCAGTTTCACAAAATTATCAAAAATCACCGCTAGAGCATGCCGTTCGGTAGGTCGCAGGAGGAGTGGGGTGAAGGTTACTTTTGTAACCTTTTAGATGATTTTTGAACTGCATTTTGAAATAGAAATGACAAGGACGGGTGATGTTTAATCGGTTGCTAAGCAACACAAGTTTTTATAAGTAAGGGAGTAAAAGTTCAACTGAAACGATTATTTTACCTTTCAATAAAAAATCTTGAATAACCATGTAGTTTTTTTTAAACTTTTGTACATGTCTGTACTAAATTTATAACACTATCCTACATATTTTAGAAGGTACCATAATGTTCTGCGTTTTCGCTTTTTCGTAACCACCTAAACTTGGTCGGCTTACCACGGTCATTCACTTCCTAATGTCTTTAATAGTATTATCTCATTAATTATCCAATGTATTGAGCTGAAATTTTACTGATATACAACTGATCTAAACAACTAATTATTGACATAACATTCAGTTCATATATCCAATCCAGTGGCCAAATAACACCGCGTGCATTAAGACCGTGCTCGTGAAGAACTGAATATCATCATAACTTGTTAAATACTTACGGGATACTAATGAAACTTCACATACATTTGAAGGCAGTTACAAGCTTTAAAATTACGTTTATAGTAAGTCTTTAGACTTCTTATTGAGAGTGCTGGGGCCAATTGAAGTGTTTTTCTATTTAATGAAAAAACCTTTAAAATATGCATTATTTTGGTTTTGTTATTGCACAACAAATTTAAACTAAGTCCTCGGAAGTCGTGTACAAAATATGATAAGAATCCGCTTAACCATTTCAAAGATCTAGCAAAACCAAAAACGTTACCGCAGCAAAATCTCGAATAACTTCGCAACCGAAGAAAGATCAAATACAAAATAAGGCACAACATATACTTTATCTAGACAACTAATTTTATAGCTAATATTTATTTAAATATTCCCATTAGAAAGAAAAAGGTCTGGCTGTGGTAACGTTACGCCAGCAGGAAATGTTTTTGTGAAATAATTAAAAAACTATAAGCGCAACAAATTTAAAAATGTGCGCAACAATTACAGAAGCCCCACAACTAATTATCTATAAGATTCAAATGACTATTGTCGACAACATCTGGCCTGGGGAACGGACACGCTTCGCAGCACAAAATAGGTACTATCCTCGACTGATCGTAAATTTCAAAAACAGAATAACAGGTAATTCCCAACAGTCAACAAGTTTATCAAAAAGTGCAAAGCAATGTATCGCAATCAATTTATGTAATATACCTATAGCTTGTTCAGTTCAGTGCAGCAGAACATAAAATGCCATAGGTAAAAGAAAATACTAAGAGCTGACTTTTCAATAGTCGGATAAATGTTATCTGAGGACTAAAATTGTTGCTGATCATACAAAAATCTTGATGCGAAAGCATCATAATGATACCCCAGAAAACTTTAAGTAACCATTGAAAAATCAGCCCATAAACTGTTTCCTATTTTATTTGTCTTGAATTGATCTCAGGGGGACTCCAAGAGCACTATCGCCAATTTAATGAATTTTAAAATTGTAGGTGGGTACTTATATTGTTGTATGACGTCAATTGCAATTGATCAGAACAGGGTACATCGGCAAGAGAATGGAAAAATCTCAGATATAAAAAAAATACATACCTACCATAAAACGGGGTGAACAGATAGGAAAATTCTCCAATATCTATTCACCCCTTTTGTGTATCTATTCACCCCGTTTTACCGTTACTTACTTTCTTTCTTTAAATGGTTTTTTGCTCAGGGAATAAACATAAAATACAAGTGCAAACCTAGCCATTTGTTTATAAATTTTACTGCGATAATACCTACAAATTAATTTGAAAATAATTATGTAGTCAGATACACAGTATTTATCTATGCCACAGGAGAAGTGATGACTTATGGGTTACTGATATTCTTCGCAATGTAAATGTACTTTGGGCTTGTTCTACAACCTCGGGGTAATAGAATGTAGGCTACGATCACAGACGACTCAACCTAAAGACCGCGCTTTGCCAGGCATATTCATTCGCCAAGGTTAGGCGGTGATACTGCATAAGAGTCGGCAACGGCCCTGTTTCTCATTCCGGCGCCACCTGCGATTTTGTTTACGCGTGGTCTTTACGTTGAGTCGTCTGTGACTACGATATATTCTATGTACCACAGAAAGGGTGCGGGTATTTGTAGATACTTATACGAGGGCGGTAAAACAGGGCCTTGTTGTAACCAGTTAGGGGGAGGTGGTGATGGGGCGATGGCCCACGTGGCTCTAAAGTTGGGAGTCTCTTGCCTCTCCTGGGGCAAACCCTCAGAACTGTGCTCTGTGCATATACATATTTTTTATTGAGTTTTTTTTAGATTTATTGGGTTTTTGGTCGAGAAGTGACTCTAACGATATCAACACGATTAGCAAAAAACTAACACTTGACATTGTTTCCCTCACAAGTGGGGGTCACAATATTTTCGGCCGGGGTAAAAGATAAATTATTTGATTAAACAGTTATAACTATTTTATTATTGATTATGGTTATTATGACATGGTTTATTGATTATATCTAACATCGATCGTACGTCACATTTAATAATATACGAGAATCTACAAAGTGGAGTTTGAAAATGTTTCTCAATGTCAATAAGTATTATTGGAGAGTTGGAGTTGTTTTTTGATTTTACCACTGCTTTCAATGTTGGAACTGTGAATTTTTCATTACATTTTTTTAAATTTTTTCTGTGATTCCAAGTATTAAAAAATATTAAGGTGAATACCACATCCTGTTGTTGATGTTGGCAACATTTCACATACCCATAAGATTTTATATAATCCATGCCCTTCCATATAAAGCGACAGATCAGTTCTGCAACAGGGGCAGCCTCTACTAATTAATCTACCCATCTACATGCATGTCGTATGCACAGTAAACTTGGCCATAAGCATTTCAGCTCTTCATAGCCTATTGTCTTTCTTAGTCCATATTTTTTTACTTAGTACCTATCTAAAAGATAAGCTCCAATCATCCCACTTATCACTTTTTTCAAACTAAAATACAAATATTACAAATACTTAGACAGAATTTATATTCATTGATCAATAAAGACTAGACATTCTTCTAAAGAAGATAAAATTCTTAAAAAATAATTCATTTCTTGAGATCATTCAGATATTTTATAACTGCATAGCATAGGTCGAAACAGTTTATCGAGTCTTCTACTCCTCTAAATGCATTGTTAACTTAAAAGCACCGTCGGAGTCGACGCATCGCATTACTGGAGCCGATTGTCCACGGTGAAGACGGATTTTAGGATCAGTAACAAATACGATTCCATCAATGAAACTATTTTTCCTATTGGTTGAAATTTCCTTTAAATCTTGCATTAGTTCTATTGAATACCAGCACAATACAGCAGAAGATAATCCATCTTTTATTATTGGAACATCTATAACTTCAACACCCTCTGTACTATCACTTGTTCCAAGCACACAGACCTCTGATAATGGAGTGTACTCTAAATGGCTGAAGTCAATACAAAAATTCTGTGTTACTTGGTATGGGTTCAAGTGCTTAGATATCTTATAATTGCTGACATTCTCATCATACAATTTATTGTTTATATCCAGCCAGTGACTCTTAACAATTTGACCCATCAGTTTTATGCTGGCAGGTAAGAAAAGGCCTTCCTGAATTAGATGGTGCTGTTTCAAGTGCTCAGCCATTGCCTTCAAGCGCAAGTCAATTTCACCACAAACTTCAAATATATTGCAAAATATAGCATGGAACTTTTCATCCTTGAACCCTTCTTGTGACCAGTTATCTCCTATCAAAATCGTAATGTTTGATAAAGGAATATTATTGCTCTTAAAAACTATTTCAAAAAATTCTTTATCACTATCAGTTTTAGCACAGCAAGTCAATGACTTAGCTCCCCTCATCAGGAGATACAGGCCAAACACTGGAAATGGACACAAATCGACTACAGTTATTTGTGACATTTCAGCCATCTGTCCAAGATAGATACAAGTGGTGCCAATACACCCAGCTATTGTATTTACATATTCAATGTCATTTAAGAATCTGATTGTTTCTGGAGAAATCCTGACTATAGTATCATCTTTATACATAGTCAACTTGCCACCATTCAGTGAAAAATACATTGGGATGATATCATTCTCCACCACCTGCACAGGAATTTTATCATAAAAGATTGCCTGTTGCCATGCATTAGCTCTCCTGTCAGATCTAGGGTCAGTTGTTACAGTAACATTATCTGTCAAATATAAATTAAAAAAGCCAATCACAGTATTAATCTCACCAGTTTCTTGAACCACCAATTCAACCTCATAATGGTCCATCTCTAATAGGTTTTTCAACTCCTGACAGTTGTTGAAGTCCACACATACCAGAGACTTGGCCTCGGTTATGTACTTGATATCATCTCCATAAAAATGCACATCTTCACAATCATATGTCTCATCAAAGGTCAAAACATGCACATTCAAGTTTTGAACATTTAGAATGCTTTTAATTGATGAACACAGCTGATATCTTTTATGCAAAAAATCACACTTTGCACCTATTACAAAGAACTCTGCCTTGCTGGGAATGACCCTGGCATTATCTGTCAGCAAGTTTTCCCAAGCATGGATTAGAGATTGAAGAACATGTTCCCCAAATAATCCTGCATCAAACACCTCTGTAAGTAACAGTGTTCTCCTGCCCCCTGCTTCATGTAACTGCATTTCTGTTGACAGTTTGTTCACAATGATACAGTGTTCACACCCATTTTCTTGGGTAATTGCAGTTGCCAAGTCACTCATTACTTTCGATCCATCGCAAGCAGTGATAATTCTCGGAGAGCATTCAGAAGCATAAACTGTTAACAAACCAGTGCCTGTTCCCATGTCCAGAATGGTGTCAACATGAGGTATAACTGACTCATGTATTGCGGCGCGGTAAGTTTCATTTCTGATTCTGTCATTTAGCATCCTAAAGTGCCAGCGCTCAACAAGTAGATTTTTAAGAGAGTTAAAATTTTTTTCAGCATTAACAAAGGTATAGTCTATATTAAGCGCCTCCTCAAAATGTTCCCAAGCCTTCTCGTAGAATCCACATTTGAAAAGGAATTTGCCCATGTCATTTAATATTATAATGCTGTTAGGAAAAGTCATTAGCGCGCGTGTGTAGTTGATAAATACATCTTCCATTTTATTGGCTGTCATCAAAACCTCATTCAATTGAGTCATCACTAAACGAAATTCACTTTCATATGCTGATTTGATAGCTGCATTCTTCTCAAAGGCCATAATGTACAGGTCGAAGGCTTTACTGAAGCACCCATTTGTCGTCATTTGTCTGGCTACTTCTATATCCTCTAAGCCTTGTTGATTCATTATTCTGTTATCTTATTTTCCCGCGATCGAGAATAAATATCTTCTTTAAAAGCTTTTCACTTATATTTGTATTTACATCGAGTGTAAATGCTTAGTAAATTGCAGTTTGCTCAGCATTACGTTTAAGCAATGTTTTGCATGATATATGTATTCAAATAATTCAGCTCACACTATATTCACATTGCCACAAAATAAACACAAAGCAAAATAAAGCGTTTTGTTAGATGACTGAATTTTAAAAACAAAGAGTATGTAACCACTACGTTAATGTTTAAAAACTCGAGACGAGATGGTAGGTAGGTACAATTTCAATGACAGTTTGACACTGACATGACAGCTGATGAGATCATAGACAAAGACTTCTTTGCTTCTTTTTCATAACTTATTGTATTAATGACTGCAAATAATTATGTCTATAACGCAACAACACTGCGTCACAATATGAATATTTTTAGTAACTACCTATCTTATAGTATAACAAGCTAGAATGCCTATTTGCACCAAACAGATCCAAACTATTTAGGTTTCGGTAACGACGACTCTTATGGCTGGACACAGCTATGTTGTGTGCCCTTATTCGGAGGGCCAGACCACAAACACATTGCTGGGAATGGACATTGCTTCAGACCTCAACTTTGGGCGGTTCATTAAGTCCAGAGCTAAGGTAGCTGCTAGAAAACTCGGCGTTCTTGCAAAAATCCGACGGTACTTCACACCGAGTCAGCTTCTGACGTTGTATAAAGCTCAGGTCCTATCGTGTGTGGAGTACTGCAACCACATATGGGCTGGTGCTGCAAAATGCCACCTAGCGGCTTTGGATTCAGTGGAAAGGCCTGCAAAGAGGCTGATTGGAGATCCAGATTTGGTTGGGTCCAATCTTCAAAGTCTCAAGCACACGCGCAGAGTAGCCAGCCTTGCGGTTTTCTACAGGATGCATTTTGGAGAGTGTGCCCAGGAATTGCACGATTTGATTCCGCCATCCCTATTTCACCTTCGGACATCCCGTACGGCGAATATCCACCTCTACGTTGTTGAGACAACTGCGGTCCGGACTAAGCGTTTTGCCTCGTCATTTAAACCGCGTACATCGAGGGATTGGAACAGTTTGCCGGCTGCAGTCTTCCCGTCCGAATACAATTTAGGTGTCTTCAAGGCTAGAGTGAATAGGCTCTTAATAAACTAGTGCGCCTTACCATCAACGATTGCATCACTGCTTACCATCAGGTGGGATCGCAGTCAAGCACTAGTTTATTGCAAGTAAAAAAAGAATCAAATTAAAAATGCCAAAATAAAAATAATAATTAAAACAAATTAAAAATAACTACTAATTATTACAGAATAGGTGTTCATTCCCTTGCACAAGAAAGGGTCGTCAAAAGACTGTGCTAACTTCAGAAGTTTAGCGCTAATATGACATGCGAGTAAGATCCTTCTCAATGTGATCAGCCGCCGCCTTAACTACTTTTTGAGCCGACAGATACCCGAAGAACAAGCGTGTTTTGTTAAGGGCAAAGGAACGCGGAAACAAATATTGAATGTGCGCCAAATCATTGAAAAAAGTCGGAAATTTAACAACGCTGTGATCCACAGTGTTGTTAAATTTCAATTTAGAATTTTAATTTAGTTGTTGTAGCGAGAGGAACTGACTGGGTAGTCGTCTCCTCTTTCTGCGAAGCAGTGATGCTCGCAAAGGGGGGGCGGAGCGCGTTAGGGAATTATCCTCCGCGCGCCCCAGCCGCCGAAGTAGACGACATTCCGGGCGTCGGGGATCGAGAAATGATCACCGGTCGCCGTAAGCGCAGGTCTGCGGACACCACAGACGGGGCCCTATAAAGCTGATGTACAGCCGGGTTTGCGGGGTAAGCGCAATGAGGCACCGCGACCTCGGCCCAGAGCAAGGAACAGAGGGGTTTTAGTCAGTATGAGTCTGACACTCTCTCTCGCCTTACCCTGGACGGGAGAAGTCATTAGATGATTTTCCCCTGACAAAAAAAGGGGTTAGATCCTGCAAACCAATAATTTAGCTCTGGCTTTAAATTGTAACCAAGGTTTGCTCAATGCATGGAGCTCTTCAATGTGTTAAGTGCCAGTGCCACCGACTCGCCCAGAGTGGACTCTCACGAATCCAACGTAAGGCTGCCATCCCACGAGGCGTTTTACTAGCGATGACGTCAACGTTGTGTTTACGCAGCGTCGGCGTCCCGCTGGCGCCACGTTAACGCCGAGTCGTCGCGTTGTGGGATAGCGGACAAAAACGTACGAGAAATGTAGGCGGCATCCGAGATATCATTGTAAGTAAAAATCGTAGTGGTAATGAAAGTGTTAACTTTTTTGAGGGTATGGAATACAATTTCATGTAACAACCTCTGCGCTAATTAAACTATGTTCCTAATTCCTATTGCTTCTTTAAGTTTGTTACACTACATACCTACTAATACATACCAATAACTAGGTATAAACTGTATACCTAATAACATAACAACTTTTTTTTAGTTTACTTATATTATTTTTCAAATTTACAAAATATCACAGTATTCCAGGGTCCACAAATTAGTGAACAGTTCCTATCTTCGTTATCACATTGAAAAACATTTTTATAGTAATTTAAAGATGGATATTTTTGCTCTGATAATCCTAACTGACCATATTTGTTACAACCAGAAGTCCATACTGTGTTGTCATCTAAAATTAGAGCTGAATGTTTAGATCCACATGCAATATCTTTAACATTTCTTGTAATTTCTATGCCTTGCTTATCAAATAGACTAACAAGATAGGGGACACAGAAGCTTTCATTATGTTCTCTATTTAAATGTTTGATTCCCAGTTGGCCAGTGTCATTCAAGCCCCATGCATAGACATCACCAAATTCGCTGAGTGCTAAGTTGTGCCAGCCACCAGCACTTATTTTGAGTATTTTAATACCAGCCAGTGCTTCTACTTCTGTGGGTACATCTAAACTGCTTATATCACCATGTCCTAGCTGTAACCTCCTAAAACAAAGTTTTATTATTTACAACAAAGTTTTGGTATCAAGCGAACAAAGGGGGAATACCCCTTTCTAACAAATAAATAAACACCTACCTGCCATTACCCCAAGTATATACCCTGCCTTCCTCTGTCAATAAAACAAAATGTTCATGGCCACATTGGACATCAATTACTTTTCCTACACAATGCTTTGTGTCCACATAACTTGGTAATATTCCACTGTACACATGCCCCCTTTGTGTCAAGTACAAGCATGTACCACTTGAAAGTACAGCTTTTGTAACACTATCATCTAACTTCTTTTTCTTCATATTATCTTCAATTGCCTTTTCAATAAAGTTTAATTTTTTAACTTCATTTTTGTTTAAGTCTAGCGACCATAAAGCAGCCATTTTCTTATCAACTAAAATTATTTTATAATCGTTGCCCGTAACACAAAGATCTACTTTGGATGTGACACATTCACTTGGTAATGGCACTTTGGTAAACTGATTTTCTTTTCCATCCCAAGCTCCCGAGATGTAAAGTATATCGTCTATTTGGACAATGTTATATGACCAATTGATTTCCAGAAGATTTGTTCGGCTTCTATCATTTGCTACTATATGTTTAGAAGGTGACAAGACCCGAAATTCGTTGATCACTAGGTCATCACAGTGCCATTGCCTAAAAATATTTGAGCCTGTTACGTAAAGCTCCATTTTAACACATTAAATCGATTTCTTTGTAAAAAAGTTATTAATGTATTTCAACTATCAACTAATAACTGCATTCTTGAGAAAATTGTTAGCAAAATGTTACATCCACTACAGCTGAAACTGAGGATGAAAACATTGAAACAGCTGGTGTAAGAACTGACAGTGACAATGTATTAATTATTTGATTTATTTGTCAACAATGTCAATTTCATAGCTGAGATTTGAGAATATTTTTTATGACAAATAAAATTGTTTATGTTTACATTATAATTAGAAAACCAGCTCAAGCTTGGAAAGCAAAAAAATCTCAAGTATTCAGCTTTTACCATTAAGTATTATATGAGGTATAGGTATAGGATCATATGTGTGTTGGTCTTTATGAGTGCATGGTTGGCGTAGTGGCTGGGCAACTGGTTGCTGTACAATGTGTCGCGAATTCGGTTCGGGCATGGATCAACACTGTGTGATCTAGTTTAATTTAACAAGCTTGTTCAGCATTTGGCACTTATAAGCTGATGATAATGATGGCCTTAATTTATTTTAAGCTTACAAAATTTTACCCAAAATTATCAGAAATTAAAGACGGGTGACGAATGGTAACGACTTATAAAAATAAAAGCATAATAATTATCTTGAAATAGCATGAATTACAGTTTAGGTGACATTAGTAAGGTACGTTATGGTAGCTGTGGCATAGCAGATATTGTCTTTGTGTGGTTGTTATAGTGGTGTTGGTGTGTTCTGTCTGCCTGCTTGTGTCTGTGTGCTGTACTTACGTCGGTATCGGTCGGTACATTTTCGTGAGGTGTATGCCGGCGAAAAGGTGTTTTAAAATATTTGTAAAGAAAACAGTGCTATTGTTATAGTAAGGAAAAGTCGTTAGTTTTGTCAGTATCATAATTTTTTGCATATATCTTTAAAACTGATGTCTGTGGTGTATTTTGCAGATGTAATGTGATAATGACATGAAATTTCTTGAGAGCAAATCAATATGGCTCTCAAGCTTGGAAAATGCAGGCTCTGCCTCAAGCTTGGCGACTTTTATTCCATCTTTACAGTCGACAATGCTTTGCAGCTTGCGGAGATGGCAATGGAATGCGCCCGGGTGAAAGTGAGTCCTGAAACTTGATTCGTCGACATATTTCGATCCTAACTAAAACCTTCTGTCTTCAGTTCATCCTTACCTAACTTTAGTCCAAAAGTGCAACATCAACATCTCAAATAGCAAACATAATTATGAAATTGTGCTAATGAAAAGTTTCCAATTACAGAAAACACATTAATATGATTTGCTGTTTTTGTTATAAAGAAAATAATTTCACAGTTTTGCCATTACTTAAGTATTGAATTTCAAATAAATCTAGGTGCATTATAAATAAGTTATAAAAGTACCTATTGATTCCTAATTTCTAAATTAGATTTGCCAAACAACTTGTAGAATATTATATTAGCATGTGTTTTGCTGTTGCAAATTTTTTGAAATGTTATTTTGTTTTTGTGTCTATTATATTTGTGTCTGCAAAGAGGAATATTGCAATGGTTTTAACCAGGAAGCATTCACCAGGGTGTTGTCCCATATTATCCTCATGATGAAGAAAGTCATTAATAGTAACTAACGGGAATAATAAATAATATAATTGTTTTCCAAAGGGACAGGCCAAGATCCACCCCTATTTAGTTAGTTACTGGTATTTATAAACCAATCAGTAGTTTATAAATACCAGTAAACTAAAAAGAAATTGCACCTTGAATCTGGCAATAGTTGTAGACACTTTTTTGTTCAGTAAATTATGTTAAACTACAGGCCAAAATTAATGCTAATTTTTTTTTATTGACATCAAATTTAACGTTACTCCTTCAACAGTTTTATATGTTATTAAGCTAATTAATTATCCCTAATATTTAATTTTCATTGAGTGTGTCACTTACCAACATGCAGACCAGACATACTTGTAGGAATTACCAACGTTTATTATGGTGTACTAAATAGTAATGAATTATACAATGGGACACTATACACACTCACAATACAACTAACAACACTAACAATCAAGTAAGGTTTACAGTGCAGCAACTAATCTGTCCTATACAGTTCTAAAGAGTTCAAAAAACAGAGACAAATACAGTGGACCCCAGATAATCCGGCCCCTGTCTAATCCAGCGCTCCCTGTAATCTGACATGACTTTGAATTATGTTTGACAATCTTCGATAATGTAGATCACGCAGGTTTGAACAGGTCACAACTCGTACGCGCCACCACTATTGTGCTCGAAGCGTATGCATTGTTTTACTTAGTTTGAATTTGACTACTAGTGACACAGTTAACGCTTTTGAGCTAGGTTTACAATGGGCTGAAGAGAATGGTACATCCTACAATGAACTTTTACTTTTGAGAAGACTGAGGGACAAAGCTCTGATCTCGCGTTATAACAACCTTAAACAAAAAAAAATCATAATTTGATAAATTCGCATCACATGTTTTTGATTAATAATTACTGATTATTTTGGTAGTAAATAAATTAATTTTATAATAAAATGTAAGCTCTCAATTGTTATTTAATTTACTAAATTCGCCTTACATAAATTAAGTTAGATTTATATTCAAAACACTTACATCATTATTGTACATATAACATATATGTATATTCTTATCATTGGATATGTAATTTGTCGGATTACAAGGTACTCTTTTGTAAAAAAATCCAGACTATAGCGTTCTTATGCAGTGCTCTATAATCCGACAAATTCGATAGTCCGACACTGCCCTGCATAATGTTTGTCGGATTACCGGAGGCCCAATCCTTCCCCGCCCCCAATCCCTTCTCAATCTCCAAATCCCTAATCCCTAAAAGGTCGGCAACGCACTCGTAAATCCTCCGTTGCGGGTGTCCATGGGCGGCGCTGATTGCTTACCATCAGGTAATCCGTCTGCTCGTTTGCCGACCAATTACATAAAAAAAAGGTCCACAAAATCTCTAGATTTTGTGGACACCGGATTACATTTGGCGAAGAGAAGTTTAAATTTGGCGTTTAGTTTACCATAAATTATGTTTGCAGATTTATGAAGGGGATGGGCTCCCTGATAAGGTATGCTCAGAGTGCATACAGAAACTAAGCAGTGCATATATATTTAAACAGCAGTGTGAAAGATCTGATCAAGAGTTGCGTCGTAACTATGTCCCACCACCAGGTAAATCTTCTTCAAAACACGTTAAAACCAACAATGATTACTTTAGATCCATGTATTGATTGCCAGTTAATTTCTAGGATTTAGCATCAGTCCCCCACCACCAAATAGACAGAGTAGTGATTCTGCTTTTTCAAATCACACCGACACTTCCAACCTGACAAAACCGCCGTCTTCCATTGAAGAAAAAGTAACTCCTACCATAAGAAGTAGGAAACGTAGTGTGGACAGTACAGAGAATGGTTCCATTGGAGGCGCGTCCAGTGACTACAGACCCGGTAGCTCCAAACGTGTTGATGAACTAAGAAGAACCAACAAAAGAAGAAGGAAACAGTCTGGCAATACTTCACAGTTAGATTCGGATTACGATGACAACAGTGCTTCATACTTACCTGAAACAGATTCCGACGATTCCTCCCAAAAAAACAGCTTTAAGTGTGATTACTGTCCCAAACAATTTCCGTCTCCTAGGAGTCTCATAAATCATAAGAGAATTCATGAAAAGAAAGAAAGTTTGGGCCAAAATGCTGTTGTTAATATACCAGTACAGAATGAAGATGCAACTGATGTGGAGGACAAACTGAACTGCGAAAAATGTGGAAAGACCTTCAAGTTAAAGATTATGTTGAAACGTCACATGGACATCTGTGGGAAGGCGAGTCGAGCCGTATCTCCCCAGAAAGAGTTACTGGTGTCCTTACAACCAATCGACGGTCTTACAAATCGGAACATTGTCTGCGAAATGTGCTCTGCCAAGTTCAAAACCACTGACAACTTAGCAAAACATATGAAGGTAGTCCATGCCGCAGTTTTGAAAAGAGAAGAAAAGCAAAGGGAGAAAGTCGCAGTTCCATGTCTGTACTGCAGCCAACTTTTCGACGATTATTATATTCATTCTGCACATTTCAATTCATGTTCGAAGAGGGACGATACTAAGCCGTACGAATGTCCTGTTTGCAAAAAAGTGGCGACAAGAAAGCTTTCGTACTTTCAGCATATAAAGAACATGCACTTTGAACCTAGAATGTTGCAAGGAAAGCCATCAGTGGAACCAGAAGCTCAGGAGTGCCATGAGTGCAGGATGTGCTCTAAGAAGCTACCTTCACAAGAAATGTTGATCCAGCACTTAGCTGCGCATATGTCGCATATCGATGAAAATGAAGGCCCCGACAATGATTCTAGGTATTTTTTTTTCATTTATTCACTCAGAGTGTCATTAAAATAGAACAATTGAAAAAAAACTATGTCATTTTTTTCAGGGCAAGTACAATGGACGATGCGATGTCTGTCCATTCACTACACAGCCAGGCGCATACTCCTACTAACCCGCTTAAATGTTCGATGTGTGACAAAGAGTTCAAATACAAGAAATCTCTAGCATCTCACGAAGCCCGGTGCCATTCTGAAGTACCAGTGGAAGTGAAGTTAGAAGTACCTGAAAAGGCGTCAACAAGCCTCTTGAGCGAGACAGCTTACCGTCAGACTGAGTCAGAATCTAGTCAAGAAGAAGATGATAACACATGTGATATCTGCGAGAAACAGTTCTCCTACCGACGACTGCTTCTACATCATAAAAGAACGAAACACAACATGAGTTCAGGCCATAAGCGTGCTAAAATCTACCTCAAGGACTGCTCCGTGCGATGTCTTATTTGCGACCTCGATATGAAAGTGGGCGATATCAACGCGCATAATCGAACCCACATATCAAAGAATATGAAGCCTCGCAACTTGTACACGTGCGCTGAATGCGAGGATACTTTCAAGAGTTGTTCAGCTCTAGCAAATCATATAAAATTAATTCATAGACTAAAACAGAAGCGTATAGAGAAAGAGACGGTGAATCCGTCGGATTTTTGTGAAGTCGTTGTGGCTAAAGCGGAACCCCTGGACTGCATCCAGAGTCACAACGACTTTGGAGAGGTTCCAGGCGCAGAGAACAAGCCGCTGGTTGACCTTAGTGGCTTTACTTGTCCCATATGTGCCAAGAAGATGCCCACACTGATATCTTTGAAAAGGCACGTGAACTGGCACTCGAGTGTCGGCAACAATATTCAGAAGAAGTACGAGTGCGTCGTTTGTAACGAGGTAAGAAGGTGTTGTGTGGTGTTATTATGTGGAATCAGTTATAGGTAAATTGTACCTAAAACACAAATTTTTGTTGCAGTCTTTCAGGTTCCAGTGCCACTACAAGATCCACATGCGAGAGCACTACCACGACACAAACCTAGACCCAAAGCATTTGACGTGCAACATCTGCGGGCGACGCAGCAAACACCTGCGGGCCGCGCAAGCGCACATGACCTATCACAAGCAGATGCGCTTTCAGAACAAGGATTACCAGTGTTCGATCTGCGAGCGAGTCTTCCAGTTCAGGAAAGTTTACCTCTCTCATATGGCCATACACTACAAGAAAGGCGACAGCGCCCAGAATACCATAGTAGGCGACGTCTTACCCAGCACCGTCGACAAAAACGTGTTCGACGGTTCCCATACCTGCCATCACTGTGGTAAAGTGTGCGACTCCGAGAACTCTCTCAAACACCACTTGATTTGGCATACTTCCAAAACGTTCCTATATGGCGCTCGGCACGAGTGCAGTATCTGCAAGGTGAAGTTTACAAATAAAAGAAGATTAGACCTGCACATCCGAGCTCACTACGAAGACGACAATGGTCCATTTAAATGTACTATCTGCGGAAAGGGCTACACGCATGAAGGATACTTCCAAAAGCACGTTAAAGGGCATAACTTTGATCACCAATCTCACAAGAAACGAATAGAAAAAATCAGAAAGGACAAAGTGAAATGTCCAATATGTACGCGGTATTATCCAGACTTGATAAAACTTATACGCCACTTGAGGCGGACGCATCCAGAAAGTAAAATGATCAAACCTGACCCCGACGCTCCGTCACAACTTTATTACTCTTGTAAATTGTGCGCCAAAGTTTTCTTAGATGAGAGACGATTACAATCTCACGAGGAAGCTCACCTTAGGAAGCCCGAATTCTTTAAATGCAAATTCTGTGGCAAGAAAACAATATCGCTTAGAAATCACCACCTCCACATAAAGAGTCACTTAGCGCAGAAGCATTTAGAAAACCCGCTAAAGTGTCCACACTGCGACGAGACGTTCGTAAAGGGCTACGGGCTCCACCACCACTTGCGTGACGTGCACAATATTATAGAGAACTGGATTGCAGAGCGCACTGAACAGCCTCTCACAGGGCCGCTCAAAGATCTCCAGTGCTCCATATGCATGAAAGTCCTCGCTAGCAAAGGAAACTACGAGCGGCACATCGACTACCACAACTCGTTAAGATGTAACTACTGTTTTGATTACTTCAGCTCTCTCCGATTCTTAGAGGGACATCTTGCGTTCTCATGTGAAAAGAAAAAGCTTTTAGGCGATACTGAGGTTTACCCAAAGAAAGTAAAATGCCACATTTGTTACAAAGCATTCCATATACAAGTGAAGTTAGACTGCCACTTGCGCACGCAACACGGCATTGTAGTAAAGAGGGAAATGTCTGCCGGCAAACAAGAGATTGTGTGTGATTATTGCTTTAGAGTTTTTGAAAATGAGTACGCTCTAAACACCCATAAGATATACCATCGGACTGTTGGATACTACGGCTGTATATACTGTCCGAGGAAGTTTAACACGATGGTGATGTACCGGAAACATAAGAATCACCACCTCTATCAGCTTAATGTGGACAACCCGACGAAATGCGAACACTGCGATGAGACATTCGTCGCGTTCAAGGAAATGATAAACCACATGAAAGAAGTCCACGGTGACGACAAAGACTGGGTAATAGAGCCGAAGGAATCGATCGAGGAAACCTGTCACATCTGTAACAAGCGGTTCTACAACCTCCACAAACATTTAAGTTACCATGAAGAAAATAAGTGCAAAAAGTGCAACGAATATTTCTATTCAAGAGGGGATTACGATAATCATCTTTGCGCCATTGAAAGTGATGACGAAGGCACTGAATATGTCGGAAACAAAGAGAAATTCCAATATGAAGAGTGCAAATTTTGCTTTAAACCTATTACCAAGAAAAGTACTAAACGGTTGCACAACCAAATACATAAGGGTTCAGGCTCGATATCTTGTAGGTTCTGCCCACTTAAGTTTAAAACCATGGATGCGTTCAATATACACGCCTTCTCTCATCGAAGTAGAAAATATAATAAGAAACCGATTAAGTGTCGAAAATGCGGGGAGAAGTTCGTTAAATACGGACCGTTCATGAAACATATGAAAGTAGTTCACAAGACTCTGAAGAAGCTTCACTACAGAACGATAGTGAAGCCAGAAAAATGTGTGGTTTGTGGAGAAGATTTCCCGAACCTACACAACCACTACCGTGCTCATCTGCTGAACCAATGTCAAGGGTGTCTCAAATACTTTACGTCGTACAAGGTTATCTCTGCACACGAATGCAATAAAGAGGATATAGACCCTTCTAAAGTGTTCACAAGTGACGCCAACTTGACTCAGCTAATAAATACATACGTTCCTAAGGACGAGAAAGACGATGAGAAGTATTACGGTCATACGGACGACGAAGAAGATGATGTTAATCTACAGTTACTCGGAGAGGAAGAAGAAAGCCAAGAAAGTAAAAACATCCCAATGATTCAGTCGCCTATAATATCGGATGTTCTATCGCTTTACAACAAGGAGGCAGACGGGATGGACAGCGTCGATAGTGCGGACGACACCAATGCTAATGTAGTCAATCTTTCCGATGATGATGATGCAGTAGGTGTCGATGACACTCTCGTTCCGGTGATTGTTCTCCTTGATGATGATTAGAGGGAACCAATGACAAGGGACACTGGTTTTAACCAGGCACGTGTTTGTATGATACACAAAAAGTAATTGGCAATTAAAAATTACGAATGTGGATATGCTACAGATATTTCCACCTCTAGATCCCCATCGAGGATTGAAGTTATATTCCAATGTAATAGGTAATATTAGGGAAAGTATTATCGATCCAAGACCAAGGAGCCGCAACAATGTATTAGCAAATATTCGCTGTATTTACGATGTGCGCGAGTTGCAACCATAGGCATTTATTAAATACTTAAATAGTATAATATTATCGTTTAGACTGAATTAAATGACGAGTGAATGGTACATAGGATTAATGATATTTATAAAACTGTTTACGTGAATGGCCGTAAGTAAATGAATAGTTTGCGTTGCCAGCAGTCCAGTCTTATTTTTTAGCATCTGTATAGATACTTACTTTCCATAATGTCGCAAACTGTGTGCGTGGTAACTATTGGATTAATCTGCTCATCTGATTTGTCACGTGGGCAACCAAAAATACCTGGTCTTTAGGATTTGAGTGGCTGTGGCGAAGATTATGTTAGTTGAGTGATGATCAATTGTGATTTTAGTTGATATGAAAATGAAGCAAGATGTATGATTTCTATTACGTTTATTATTCGCTCACAAGTTTTCTTCATGTTTACAAAAACATAGGAAGCTTGAAAGGGAAAAAATTGAGAAGTGGGTGATGAGCTACATGTAGCGTGTATTTTGCGGCCATAGAGTTCATGAGTTCATAGAGGCCATGCTCTGAAATTTAAAATCTCTCTGTAATAGCTGCAGACTGCATGCAACAGACTGCACGGTTGGCGCGGTGGCCGGGCAACTGGCTGCCGCGCAACGTGTCGCAGGTTCCGCACAGAACAAGTCTTTGTGATCCACAAATTTTTGTTCCGGGTCTGGGTGTGATGTGTGTGTAATATTGAATGTTTGTCACCGCACTAACGACACAGGGGAAATACTAGTGTGGGGCAACGTTATCATAAGAAAAACAATTATGTTAAATGTGACGTGTATGAGAAAATTAGTGAGGTATACATTTGAGTCAGTAAATTGTATCTAAACTATCGTCTTTAGGTCGATTTGAATGTTATTTTTTGTGAAAATTCTTGTGAATAATGTTAAGTAGATTTGTGAGCATTCCAAGGTCGCTCTCAATTTACATGATATTGTAATTTTGTAAGGGTCCGACCGACTTTAGGTAGGTACTTAAGAAAGTTATCTTAGCTCAGCAGGATCGCAGCAATGACACTCACTGCAATTTCTGAACTTGAAATCGTCCTTGGAATGATAAGGAAAAGCTTTGTAGTACCTAGCAGTCGTACATTCTACCTTCGTGGATAAGGTCCAAGAGAGGGTCAAAGTATTATCAAAAAGTTTCATTCTATATCTTATTATTATAAAAATTCTCTGTGGTGGCTGAGCAAAATTGTATCTATGTGAAATTTCTACTACTCTATATGGTTCATACTGAACCATATGTCATTAATTTACAAATTGTGATTTCACTGAATTGGATTAATCCATAAAGTCGTAAATATAATATATTAAATTTATTACTTTTTCGTGCCATCAAAGATGTTATTTTCTTCAAAGCAATATGTTTGTTGTTATTTGTAATTTTGTCAAATATATGTGTCCAATATAGGTATATATCACCTATATCTATATCAATATGTATCTACCGCGCACACTAGAGTAGATTTCCTTGAGTCTCATTAGTATTCGGGTCTATTAGTATAGTTCTTATATAATGTACTTTACACTCAATTTTAACTAACATTAACAAACTCTTTATTCACAGTTAAGCCAAGCAATTTTGAATTCTATTGCATCCATGAAATTGTATCGCAAATATATTTTTGCTTTCAAAGGATTTGTCTTATGGAATAGGGTTCAAAATCAATTGACAAATTTGTAAATAGAGCATATTGTTTTCTAAGTTATAATTAAGTAATCTGTACATATGTTTCAAGTGTGTGTAGGATTACCAGGATACTATAACTTATTACATGTACACAAAGAGTGATGTAGGAAATCATGACAGATAGTTCAGTGATTATGTAACTTGCCCAAATACATTTAGCAGCTACGAGTTTAGCTCTGTATGTTAGAATATTAGCAGAGATAGGAAAAATGCAATAATGTTCACTGAAATTTGTTTTGTTATATCACTTTTTTATTGAAATACAATGCTAGTAAGAAATAGCGTATTTTTCAAAGTTTTCAAATTAGCCAAAGGAGTGGATGTATCGTATATGTGACAGTTGACTAGCTTAATGAGCCATTCAATTGACGGCCTAACTTGTTTAATGAAATATATCACACTACGATTTTGGTACCTGTTTATATCTGACGGCAATTTAATTTTTGTGCGGGTCGCAGTTTAACATAAGTCTACCCTTTTGGTAACAATTTGCTTGTCGTGACATTTCCTTCACCTATCAACAAACAACTCTGCTATTGAATCAAACGACCCATTGATAGGATTCACGCTGGTTGAATGGCTAACTAAGCAGGATGGCTGTGTCATATACATTAGATGGTAACTAGTATATATAAGTATAGCTAAGTTCAGTCAGCATCTATGATCGTTTAAATATAAGATTAAAATGTTTATTCCAATTACGTATGTTATAAAGAGGTTACTTTTATTTCTGGTTATATTTTAAAACTTTTTTTTTATTGCCTGCATTATTTTTCTTTGTCAAACGTGGATTGTAATGATGGACGAAATAAAATGATCATTTGAAATTTTAATAATGTTTATTTAGTCAACATACTCATATATGAACAGCTGATTAACAAAGCTAACTGACATTAGTTAGTAGAACATTAGTAATTAGTTCTGTGGTACATGATTACAAGATAATAACTTATTAGCAATCAAGCTACGTACGGTAGCTACATACATTTCGTTCGGCGTCCGCAGTCCGCAATAGACCGGACTGTTTGATACTTTTCGGATTACCTCAGCTAACCAGCCATCCACAAGTTTCCAGTGTTACAGGTACATTACATACATCGTAAACGTTTGATAGTTATAAAAATATCTATCGTTATTTTTATTAAGATATACACATAGTCATACCCCTTATGCTAGTTCTAACTCCATTCAATACAATTTCTAGTACAGTTTTGGATTCGGGAGCAATATTCAGAGATATATGGTAGGGAAGTCATATTATGATCTTGATTATGATGATTCAAACGAGTACATATTTCTAGTAGCTGTAGAAAAAACATAATGAAACTGAAACAAACTTCTTAAAAACTGAACTGAATGAATTACTTTCATAAGTCATCTGAGTCTGTCTAACTTATAATCTAAGCAATTATCTACTCATAAAAAATTAAATGTTACAAGTACGACTTGCAAGAAAATAAACTTTACTCTTTTTTTATACACCATATTTAAAAAATAATTATTTCACTTAGTAAACTTATCAAATAAAATAAACACGAAATGACATAGGTGGATAGTTTTTAGAATTCATATTGTAAGTATCAAATTTTTACGCGATAAATAAAATTGATGATTCCGCGTGAGCAGTTAAAAGCATTCAATAGTACAATGGATGCTATTCAAACTTGCGATTTAACGTCATATTATTTTCTATTACCTAACTACAATGAAGTATGTGCTTAGATATTGTTGCATGTCGCCAGGACATATTGAACTTTACAAAGAAATAGACATAAGTAGAATCAGCCATTAGCACACACTTCAAAAATTGATAATTTAGAATCACGGTTGATTTCCTTTCAGTCATAATCAGCATTTAGTCAATTAGAATTTACCTACAACAATTATATACACATTTTACATCAATATTATATATAAAATATATAGGTGATCTCGTCGAAAGAGTACGTCAGCCTTTGATTGTAAAATTGTTAATGTAATAAGGCGACATATGCTTTATTTACTTTGTTGATACGTGTTTATATTTTACACAGAACATTTAAAGCAATATACAAACGTATTCTTTCTACGGCTTCACAAACATAACATTTCAAATATTACTTAATAAAAATATTAATAAATTGTATTATTAAAAAGTAATTAATCACTTTAAATAAAAGATATTCACAAGACACTAATAAAGATAGGCATTGTAAGGCTTTCTCAATTTGAGGAAAGGTGACAGTGAGCATAATTTACTCACCATCTGAAAGTCATATTGCTCGACCTTAATTACAACGCAGCTTTGGAAGCATTCTTTCTCTAAAGTAATTCAAACCATGGCCGCCCCAAATTAAGAAATTTTACCTCCAATGCATTTAAAACACCTATACATAAATGCTTGACTCGATAAAAAGAGAAAAATATTGCTGAGCACAATTATTCCAATATCACATTTCAACTGAAGTAAATTCATACAACTAGGGCCGAGGTAAACTGACAAATTTTTATCAGCATTAGCTCAGTCATCTAGCTACTCTGGCACACATTTTTATAAGAAAAATATCGAAATTTATTTTAAGAAGATAATAACAAGACAAAGAAGAAAAATCACTTAATTTACTCTGATATAGATATTATGCCGCATAAGACACTTCCAACCATCGTGTATTGCTTGCTCAATAGGCTAACAACGAACATTCCTGTCGTTCTTTTAAAAATAATGCTTTTATTACTAAAAATAATAAATAAAAATATACATACCAACAACTGCTTTAAGTATGCTAAGTTATCGTTAATACATATTGTAACAATACTATTGCTTCAATGAGATTGTTATGTTATTTTTTGTTGCAATTCAATGTGACGTGGTTACAAAGTTTTATTGATTAAAAAATAAACCTTATTCATAATGTTTGTTAGCTGAAAATCTATTCTATCGTAATTTAGTGTTTAATGTAATAGTGCGAAATCTAGGGTTGCAAATGAAGTTAATTTTAAAACATTCCTTGACTAGTTTAAAATTATAAAGCACATTTGTATACTGTTTGTCCTTGAGTTACTCACTGAGTAATCGAATGTACAATCAATGAAAGCACACTATTTATAGCAAGTATGTGCTTGGTGATACACACATATTTAATAGAGATGGTAATGAATAAAGAAGAAATCTTTGAATAGTAGCGTGATAAAGTCGTCGTTGATTGTACACATTTATATTTACGTTCCAAGGCCCCAACTATAGAGTATCTCACGCAATGATGTACATGGATATGAGTCCCTATCATGGCTTGAAAGTAATCGAGTTCCCTCGTCAAACAATTTTGTTTGAGTAAAATGTAACATATCATAAATTTAAAATGTCTCACAGTTATTACAATACAGTCTAATATTGTTTACATCAGCCATACACCTTTTTCATAAATGAGGCACCCGTTTTATTGGAGGGATTTCTAAAATGATTTTAATACTATGAATAATTAGAGGACGAAGTATGTAAAGGAATAGCACAATCATTATAGTCAACACTTTATTATTTACTGCGTATAGCAAATAGACAGATACTTATAAATTAAACGTGTGTGACGTGGTCTTAGTGAGTGAAAATAAAAAAGAACTTGCTATTTTTCTTTCTTTCTAAATATTACCATAATTTGTGTATTTCAAATGTGAAATATTATATCTATCCAAACATGACGAATTTCCTTTGGCAGTAAATTTTGGGCTTGATTTATTTAAAGACTTATTCGAAGGAAACTGAATACCAATTGAGGTGGCTTTCTAGAAGGTTCTGTCAGATACACGATCGGTGTAATAGAGCAGACTCTATTGATATTATCAAGGAACAGATTATTGATATACTAGCTTACGCCCGCGGCGTCGCCCGCGTGTTATGTTGATAATAAGTAGCCTTTGTCCTAATCCGGAATGTATCCTATGCCTGTATCAAATTTCATCCAGATCTGTCAAGCCGTTTTGGCGTGATGGAGTAACAAACATCCAGACATCGTAACTTTCGCATTTATAATATGAGTAAGAAGTAAGATGAATATCTCTGGAGTTTACCTTTCAGCAGTCGGACGAGCAACGCAAGAAAAGTACTAGCCTTCAAGAGTTTGTTGTTAAGAACAGATTATGAGGTGTGTGGTGTGAGGAAGTAGTGTCGGTTCAGTCGTCCCACTCGCCGTCGCTGGTGGTGGCGTCGGAGACCTCGGAGTCGGAGGAGTGTATGGCGCGCGAGCGCTCCTCCAGCGCGCGCTGCAGCGCCTCGGCCAGCCCGCAGGCCGGCCGCGCCCCGCGACGCTCGCTGCCGCTCGTACTGCCCGACCGGGACACCTGCACGCAAACCATCACTCAATATCACTTTCCTTCTCTCTAAGTCAAGTCAAGTTAGATAATTAGACAAGCTTAATTTTCTTGAACGAGTTATTTTCGCAATATTCCGGGCACTGTTTACAGAAAGTAACGGGTAAATATTGCCAACGGGAACGCTGAGGTGGAAATCTTGCGAGGGTAACATGATGCGGAGGTGACTCTTTCCTAATACGCAAAATACACTATAATTTTATTGAATTCCTAATATTGTTAGTGTGATTTTTGTAATTAAAAAATCATATTGTAAAAACAAGTTTAGGAGAGTCAAGCTTCGGCACGAATGGGTCGGCTCGACCGGAAAGATAACACAGCCTCAAAGAACACCGGCGTAAAATATCCGCAGCGTTGTATTTCGCCGTGTATGTGAGGTTATTGGAAACCCAATTCCCTCAAGATAATAACCATAGTATGCCACATGTAACTGACGCGACCTACTATTTGCTAGCACAAGCAACGCTTCCAATAACAAACTCCAGACTTACGGATTTCAGTTCCACGCCCTGTCGGATCTCGCTGAGTAGATTACTTCTGCTGTCGTCCACAACAATCGGCTTAGCCGCGGGCTCGACACGCTGCAACAGGATTTACATAGCAAATTAAATATTATTATTTTTTAGAAGCTTCAAGTTTTAACTCGAGCAAATAGATGTAACTAACGAATGGGTCGACCAGTGATACCACGGCATCATAGCTAGGAAGGGGTTTTTTCATCTCTAAAATGAGTATACGGGGTTTTTATCCACATGGATACGTTATTAGGAAGGGATATAAAACAACACTCGCACTAAGTATATATCGCCGTGTGAGTGAGATTATCGGACGCCAAATTCTCCAAATTCCCAACTCCATAAGCCAGCAATGGACAACTTAGTGTCATCCTGATCATCATCAGCCTATAAGTAAGCCCACTGCTGAGCAAAGGCCTCTTGTCATACGGAGAAGGTTAGAGCATTAATCACCACGCTTGCTTAATGCGGGTTAGCGATTTCAAACTTATAATTAGAAATTATAAGTCCAGGTTTCCTCACAATATTTACTTTCACCGTATGTCAGTGGTGTCTAAATAATCATAGAAAGTGCATATAACTCGGAAAAAGTCACATTGGTACTTGCCAGGTTTCGAACCCGTCATGCATGAGAAGCGGGCTCCTTAACCTCCGGGCCACCACGACATCTCGGTGCAACGAGTGTCAATGACCGACGCCAATGCTTACCATTACAAGTTACGTGTGCTTGCTGCCGACCTATTTTATAACCGAAACAAACTTGTGTTTACCTTGAGAGTCTTGGTTCCGCTTCGTATGCTCTCCATAAGCGCTGCTCTTGGGTCTGCGGCAGCGGGGCTGGGCGCTGCGCTCTCCGCCGGCATGGCGGGCGCCATCGGGGGCGCCGGCGGAGGGGGAGGCGGGGGCGGACCGGGGGGCGCCGCCGACATCGGCGGGGGCGGCGGAGGGGGCGCCGACCCGGGGGGCGGCGGCGGCGGAACCGATGGCGGGCCCGACGATATCACCGCTGTGTGTTATAATGACGGATTAATGACCCAATAGTTATATTAAATCTATTAAAATCTAACACAATATTTCGTACGTGATTTTATAAAAAAAAGAATTAAAACGAAGTACTTACGTTGCGCAGGGCGTGGGGGCGCAGTGCGGGTAGCCAGCGGGGGCGGGATCACGCGAGTCGGGGGCGGCGGGGGCGCGCGGGATGCTGGGGATAACAATATAACACTCGTTTAAAATAATTAATTTACTATTTAAAAAAAACGTTGCCCATACTACGATTTCCTCCTACGTCGTGGGTGCTGTTACAAACATACAATTTCACATACACATCACACCCAGACCCGGAACAACAATCTGTGGATCACACAAAGTTGTTCCGTGCGGGAATCGAACCCGTGACACGTTGCGCGGCAGCCAGTTGCCCAGCCGCCGCGCCAACCGTGCAGTGAGTTTGCCATCGTATCACATAAAAATAAAATCCACGGCCGGAAACATCGTCAGCTCGCTGTGCCTACAAGCCACACGTGCCTCATGCCCAATTCCTCGCGTTTTCCCGCGCTGAAGAGCCTCTTGGAAGCTCACACAAACAAATATATAGATATGTAGATACGCGCGCTTACCTGGCATTTTGTGAAAACATAATTTCAATGTCTATACACTGTGTTTTATTTTTTTCTATATTTTGTGTTAATGTAATTGACTTAAAAATTCGTATTAACATAAGAATAAATAAATAAATAGTATTATAGTTACGTGGCGCGGGCGGGTGTGGCGGGGCGGGGCTGCGCGTGGGCACGGGCGGCGCCGGGGGCGCGGGCGCGGGCGCGGGGTGCGCAGGCGCGGGGGGCGGGGGCGCAGACATACTCGGCGCTGGGGGCACCGCGCCTCGCACACCTATGAACATTACACAATACACAACTTGTTCTAAAACACAAGAAATATGCTCAATGCCAGATTATACAAGAAGCGTTGCTGAGCAATCGATAGAGACAATACGGTAGTTTCCAACTAGTCAAATTCAATCATCAACATCAGCCGGAGAATGTTCACTGCTGGACAAAGGCATCCCCCATACAAATTCAATAGGTACTTTTATCCAAATGCCAAAAACGATGATACTTTTTATGAAATTTGTATGAAAAACTGAGTTATGACGTCATAGTATTTTTGCGTCTAATACTTTACTTATTTCTTAATAGTTAGCTACAAAATATGTAAAACTTGGTGTATCGATCGATGAATAAGATTATAATATGTGGTTATTTTTTAATATTTTATTGTATTGAAACGTCGAATTAATTTATTTTAGACCTAGGAAACTACCCAATTGTCCTTGACCTACCCTGGGAATAGGTCTTGATATCGAACTCCTAAATCCCGAGCCAACCTTGCTAATAATGAAACAGTCTAGTTAACGGTACACATTTCTACTTAATAACAGAAATAAACAAATTCACAATTAATTTTTTTTTCTTTACAAAAAAAACATATCCATTACTATTTATTATATTACTTGCAATGTTTGTGTACATGTGAAGTGAAACAGATATCTCTAAACCGATTGAGCTGATATTTTGTATATGGCACATTTAGTTTACTCAATTTAAATTTAACAATAATAATTATATAAATAATTATGTAAGTATACACAAATGTCTGTTAAGCTTGATTTCAAAAAGTTTTTAAAAAGTAATATTGATTAGTACTTACTCTTAACATTATCGAGGTCTTGTTTGACGGCTGTGAGTCCTCCATTCATTTCGATGAAGTCGTATATAAACTCTCTGGTCTCTTGGTCTTGTAGCTGTGTCTCTGACACTCCGGCCTTCGTGAAGAACGAACGTAATTCGTCGGCATTCGGCGCATTGTCCAGGTCAAACCCTAAACAGTTATAGTTAAGAATAAATAATGATTTTTAAAAAGCTATTTAATATTTTTTACACTTTAAGCCATACTTAAGTGTGGGAGAGCCATACTTCGGCACGAACGACGTTACGAGTGATCAGACCACGGCCTCACAGAAAACTAAATCTCCAAATCCCTACCCCCTTAAAGGTCGGCAACGCACTCGTAACTCCTCCGTTGCGAGTGTCCATGGGCGGCGCTGATTGCTTACTATCAGGTAATCCGTCTGCTCGTTTGCCGACCTATTACATAAAAAAAAAACTTCGACGCGAATGGGTCGGCTCGACCGGAGATACCACGGCCTCGTAGAAAACCGGCGTGAAACAACCACAGCGTTGTTTTGTGATTGAGGTTACTGGAGGCCCAATCCTTTCCCATCCACAATCCCAAAAATATTTGTAAATAATCACATGATTCAGGAGAAGATCCTATAGATCCTAAGATCCTATAGTAGAGCAAATAAAAAATGTCATGATACTGAGTTAAATAAGTACAAGTAAGCCCAAATAAAGTGGTTTTGGGACCTTATTTTGATTTTGGTGTTAATATCTATTTTATTCATACCCAATAAACTAACGAACCAAATCTCTAAACTTAATGAAAATTCTTGTTCGAGTTTTCAATCGAACACTAAGTGAAAATCGGATCGGATTTCCAAAATTCTTTCAATGTTAGATAGCTACAATGTTCCTGAGTGCTATAGGCTATATAACATCACGCTACGATTAAATGGAGCCAAGCAACCGCGCGAGAGTAGCTAGTAGATGTATAAAGATGACTTCGATAAGGACGGTGGCGTGTAAGACATGATTGCGTATAGGTAGGTAGGTAGGTAGGTAGGTAGGAAGACATAGTATTTATTTACGTAGATATACCTTTATTAGCATCCCAGCCGACGTGCGATATGTGTTTGAAGTTCTGCGGCACGCCGATATCAGCCTTCGTCAGTTTCCGCCCCTTCTGTTTCTTATTACTTTTCAAAGTGTAGCCTGAAATTATTATCTATACGTTATCTTTAAAACATAAGAGTAATTACGTATAAATATTAGTCTTGCTCGTTCCACGGTAGGGTAAAGGCCTATCTTTCTTCCAATTTGGAACAAAGTTTACTGCGGCCAATTGCCGGTTGCTTACCATCAGATGAAGGTTGATCTCGTTTGCCGCAATCTATACTATTATTATAAAGAGGTAAAATTTGTAAGTTTGTATGTACGGGGTAATCTTTGGAACCGCTGGTCGGATTGCCAAAAATCTTTCACTGATAAATAGCAACAATGTTCCTGAGTGCTATAGGCTATAAAAAATCACGCTACAATTAAATGGAGCCGAACAGCGGGTGAAACCGCGCGAGAGTAGCTAGTATCCTATGAAATTATGATAAAATGTAGTATGGTACTGACTTCCTAAGCTGTGATTAGTCTTGGCGGGTACTGGCTGCACCTGCTGCACTGGCTGCACGTAGGGCGCGGGCGCGGCGGGGGGCGCGGGCGCGGGCTCGGGCTCCGGCGGCGGCGGCGGCAGCGTGCCGTTTTGCCGCGCCGGCACCGAACTGGCGCCACTGCTGCGGGCCGACACCATCGACCGTTGCCGACGTTCTGTCAACATAGTTAGATAGATACATTTATATTTACTTTCAACTTTCAATGCCCATTCTTTGTCTCCAATCAATGTTCGTATTTTTTCTGATTACTATCAAATATACGGTATGTTTTATGTTTTATCGAACTCATCTTTAACATTACAATAAGCCGAATTCTAATCAAAATTACAGGAGCCAAGAAACGGAAGGTAGTGCGGTTGATGACATAGTGTAAGAATTATTCAGAGCAATCAGCACAAAGCATGTTTACGAGATATATTTGTAAACAGCGGTAACGAGAGATATAAACATATAATGTGAAGTCATTATTTACGACAATCACCGCATTATTGCCGCCTCTCAAGTTTCTATCGAGAATAGGTCTATGGTCCGTACTTCCGTAGGTTCACGTCTAAGGCATTGTGGTGTTAATGTCATTGTTTGGTATTGGTAAACAACATGTCTAGGATAAAAAATATGAACGTTATATACGTTTGCAATTATTTGTAGATTTGGTGTTGCCAGAATTAAAATTATATTTCCTACCACTGGAGAGTATGTTACGCTAAAACGAATTACCTACGTAACAAATCTAAATAAGTGAAGGAGAAATATGCTGCTGCACGAATGAGCCAGCTCGACATTGATATCAAAGCCTCACAGTAACCAGCGTGGAACAACTAACGTGGGAGTGAGGTGACCGGAGACCCACATCTTACTGCCTCATTCCTAACCTCCAAATAAAATGCCTGACAATCATCCCACAAAAGTTTTTTATTCATGCTGGTGTCCATCGGAGACACTGATTGCTTACAATCAGGTGATCCAACAGCTCGCTTGCGTCCAAAAGAAATTTTTCATAGAGATTATTCATCTGGGGTAACACATATGACATAGGGTACTTTTATCGGAAACGCGGAAGGAACCGCAGTCAAAAGCCAGTAATAATTTGTATCTATTGCATCCAACTAGCTCAATAAGTATTTAATAAACGATATCGCAGTACTATTTTGGTAGCTATTTATTTGTTTGATGTGATGGCGACTCTATTACTTACATAACAGCCTGAACGAGAAATTTAGCTAGACATACAATCAAACCGCTGGTCTTTAAGAACGTTGGTTGAATGGCTAATGAAGCTAGTTGCCAAATATCTGTCCTATCATCTTAACGCCGAGAACTGGGCAGCGGTAAAAGCTAAAATTTCGGTGACCTGACTGCGATCCCTGAGCTGCCAAGCAGTTATCGAAACCAATTAAAAGAGCTAGGGTGTTTATTCTATTGGATGTATTCCTGCTGGTTATGATCAAATTGATGACTCATCAATCTTTATATAAAAGTTACTGAACTTTTATTTTCTGCAATACGTACCGAGCTCCGATCTGCTGTTGCATAATCACCAAATAAAGAACAAAGCCTATGAAATAATCTAAAACATAAAGGCACGCCTTTGTTCTTGTCAATGAATCAAGTTACACAAACCTTCTCGTCTGATCTTCCTCAGTTCAATTTTCTCAAGGAGTATATTTCTAAGGATGTTCGCTTCATTCTCATTTGCAAAGTTGAACGCGGCCATATATTCCTGGAATAGAGAAAGACATGTTCATTAGTCGATTTGAGGAGACAAAGAATTGAGATTTAGTGACATTGTACCTACTGCGTTTACGTGGCTTAGATATAAATAAAAAAAAAACAAAACAGTAGTACCTAGTAGCTGTTTTTATATGATAGGTCGGCAAACGAAAATACAGATTACTTTATGATGACTCTCCCGTAACATCAGAGGAGTTACGAATATGTTGCCCGCCTTTTGGGAATTAGAATACATGAGAGTTGGGATTGGGGATTGGATTGGGGAAGAGGAAGGAATTAGCCTCCGGTAACCTCACTCACACGGCGATAAACACAAATTCTCGAAATCCCCAATCCCCAAAAGGTCAGCAAGGCACTCGTAACTCCTGCGTTGTTGCCGGTATCCATGGGCGGCGCTGATTGCTTACCATCAGGTATAGTACGCTCGTTTGACGTCCCAAAAAAATTTGGCGCAAGAACTCGGTCCGCATTCAATATTCAATATGCGCACATTGATTCGAGACAAAAAAGATCTTAAAATTGAAACAGGGCCAATTTGAGAACGCATGCTTACATATTTTCTTTTAAAAAATGACAAAGAAAATTCAGTGTTTCTTGTGTATGTGAATACAAACACAATTTTTGTAAGCCACCCACGCCTGAAACAATAACTTGTGGATAACACAAAGCGTTATGCAGGGTTTGAACCCGCGACATGCTGCACAGCACCCAGTTGCCCAGCCAATACGCCAACCGTGCGGTAATTAAAATTCAAAGTATCATATACAAATGGGTTAAAATACATTACAGAACCAATAGAAGAGAATCTAAGCAATAGTGTACTGCCTGGAGCAGGAGAAGGAACGGGAAGAGAGGGAGTCAGTAGGAAATATTCTAACCTAAACCAAACCGTCTTGTCCCACCCAAGACCCAAGAGCAAAGTCATTGGCTGATTTTCCTTTTCAAAAAACGAAGCTGATGAAATAATTGAAAATTTCGTCTACCTACATTTTCATCACATACTTAATATATATAAATTAAGAAATCAAATGAGACTTCTTCGGCTAGATTTAATATGAATATATTAAATCTAGTCGAACTTCATTATTTTCCATAAGAAGGTGTACAATTGTAAACGTATTAATAAAAAGATTACGTCACTGCTGCTCTTAATATAAATGACTGTATTCATAATGGTTTTGCCTGTTGTATTTATGTTAGTCTACATTATCCTTTTATCTATAAACAGCTCTGCATGACAGACATACGGCACAATATCTTTTTAATTCAACATTACATTCATCATACTTGATACGAGTATTCGATTTTATTGATGTATGTTTATTGAAGTAATTCTTTTGTCTTTTTTATATTGACAAAGGTATTTAGAGCAGACGGTACAGACAGATTTATCTAAGATCGATAACTTGGTATTTTGAGGTAGGTGCAAGGACTGATTTGTAAGGCCACCGTTATTTGTGTTAGCCTCGTACCCCGTCGTACATCGCAGTATGAACATTATAAGCATTGTATAACAGACTGCACGAAACGTCTCCCAGATGAGACCAAACACGTCTACGTGCGGTAAACTGCGGTAGGCTGCGAAGGGGATAATTGCTGTAGTTTGCAAAATGTGCTATAGGGAAATACTCATGTGTTATGGAGACGTGTGAACTGTTTCTGTGTTTTATACACACTTTGTTTTCTGAGCTGCTTGCCCAGCCACCGCGCCAACTGTGCAGTCAATTTTTGTGATGCCTATAGATGGGCAAACTACCTGGGGACTATCTGGTGGTTAGCGATCGGTGCTACCCACGGACACACAAACAGAGCTACAAGTTTTGCTTTTGAAGAGTTGTTAGGGATTTAAGAATAGGGGATTTGGAGATTTAGTACGGGGAAGGAAGATTGGGAGTCCGGTGACCTCACTCACACGACGAAACACAACAATCGTTTACACATCAAACATAAGAACATGCAATAGGCCCATCTGTATAGGTCATTACCTCACACAAACAATGAGATGACGCAGTATTACGTTGATACATAGGACATTATAAGAATTACGAGATTCGTTTTGGAAAACACACGCACAAATGAAGTACACCGTCATCAGCCGCAATTGTGGACAAATGTTTGTCCAATGCTGGACAAATGTTCTCCAAGTCGTCGTGTAGTGTAGTTTTAAATATTCTACTCGCAATTACATATTTCAGGCAGTTTCAGTCGTTTCAAAAGTAATTATTTATGGTTTAGTTGGAATAAATGATTTTGACTTATTCTACATTGTTGAAATCTTTCTTGAATTTTCACAAGCTCTTTTTATTGTTAGAAAAAAAAAACGTTCCAAACCGAAAATTAAGAAATTAAATTAAATTAATTAAAATTGATCCAGCCATTTCAGAGTTTTAGTTAGACTAAACAACAACATTTTTATATGTTATGTAATATCTTCAACAGGAAGACTTTGTGAATGGGTGGTCCAGATCTACCAAAAAAGTAATAGGGATAAGGAAAACAATAGCATTAGCTTCGAGTATATGTGTAGTAAATTAATAGTAACATGTTCATATTAATACATGCGTACCTATAGTATTACGACCTATGTCGGTGTCGCGTTCCCTTTGAAATATAAATACCTACATTAATTTACTTATTTTTTATAGGTCGCATGCAGTAATACAACTGATTCTTCTTTTTCCTATCATTAAATACTTTTTCTTTTTTATAGTATAGCTCGGCAAACGAGCAGTCGGATTACCTGATTGTAAGCAATCAGCGCCGCCCATGGACACCCGCAACGCCCAAAGAATTACGAGTACTTTGCCGGCCTGGGTTTGTTTCAGTTTTCTGTGAGGCCGTGGTATCACTTCGGTCGAGCCGACTCATTCGTGCCGAAGCTTGTCTCTCCCACATTTGGGAACAACTTATGTCTACTCGCCTCTTACAGAAGTTAGAAACTTTCTTTTTTCTAACCGTAACTGTCGATAGTTAAATTCAATACTATCATCAGCATTGAGTGTACGTGTACAATGTTTTTTTTTTAGGAAAAATAACCAGCCTGCCTTCCTGCCATTTATAAGAATCATAGGACTAAAGAGTAGTGGCATTATTAGTAAAAAAAACAGCGTATTAGAAGTCAGAGATAAAAAAAACGATCTCTTTACTTTATGCGCTGTTAATAAATACTCAATCAAAAGTAGCACTTGATTGCAAATAACCTTGTCAGGCTGGTTGTAACTTGTAAGTGTAGCGTTACAATCTGAATGCACTAGACTCAAATGTATTGTAAATACATCACAGCGAAATAATTACATGAAATAAACGACTATTTTAATCGGAAACCACATAGAATAGTGGTAGTAATTTTTACACTGGTAAGAATTTTCAAATTTTGTCGATCGATTCCGTTCTAGTACTATTGCCAATCTACTAAATATTTAACAAGGGATGAACCAGATGTTAAAAGTTTTTCTGATACATAAATAATGAAATATCGATCATATTGGCTGCTACTTTTCCTGCTACTAACTTAATATATTATGCGATATGCTACAATAGGTACAAACTTCATTGAGTTTGCACTTATAATAAACATAATAATTCAATCGTATAAAACGTGAATTATCAAGTTTCGTTTGTGGTTTTGATAAGGAAATAACTATACTAATCGCAATTTTGTGTTTACTAATCACTATAATCACTTTTCCTATGAATAAGACTTTTCAGTACAAATCATTGTAATGACTTTGTATCAATAAGTCCATATATTATTTAATGATTGTGGAAGTGTTTTGAAAGAATTAAGTATATTATACGAAAGTATTAAATTTATGATTCACAAAGTGAAGCGATAACCTTAACAAAGACAGGTCAGCTGAGGTCGTGGGTCCAATAATGTTTCGCGGCCCCAGCCCGGGGTAAGTGGAGAAGAAGGAACAGGGTGATTTATCTATACTTATAATAAATCTGTAGAGAGGTCAATTCTGTACATTAACTATATTTTCAAAATAACTATCAGGGGGTGATACCTAAGTGATCGATACTGATGCCAAAAATTCAATCAGTAAAATTTTTGTCTGTCTGTTTGTCTGTCTGTCTGTATGTTCTTTATAGAACCAAAAAGTACTCGACGGATTTTAATGAAACTTAGTACAATTATTCTTCATACTCCTGGGCAGGTTATAAGATACTTTTCATCATGCTACAAATAATAGGAGCAGAACAGTGAAGGGAAATGTTGGGAAAACGGGCGAAGTTACTCCCTTTTTTAAGTTTCCGTCGCGTGCGTAGCCTTAATGATAAAAGTTACATAGAAATTATGTATGACGGCAATATTTTACATAAAATTATCTCAAAAAAATGTTATACGGCATATATCTATCTTTTATGGTTAACTCATAAAAGATAGATATATGCCGTGTAACTCCTGATAGCTTAGCAATTCGGATAATAAGCCATCGCGCCGTCGCATGTGAAAACTGAATCATGCTATAGGGATTATTATTGTGTAACTATTACAGCGCTCGACGCGACGCGGTATAAATATAATATAATAGTGGGTTTTATGAAATATTTTTAATACTTACCTATTAGTGAGATCCGTACCATTCTATCTATGGACGGACGGATGGCAGAGACTTAATAAGTACTAGAGTATTTACCCATTAAAATGAGACGATTAATAACAAATTTTATGTATAGCTACTTCGATTTTGTTCTATTGCTATAGGCTGCTTTTCATCAAGACAGCACGCTGGCGAAGCCGCTGGCGGAAGCTAGTCTATACTAATATTATAAAGAGGCAAAATTTGTAAGTTTGTATGTAGGGGGTAATCTTTAGTACCGCTACAATGTTCCTGAGTGCTATATGCTATAAAACGTCAAGCTACGATTAAATGGAGCCGAGCAGCGGGTGAAACCGCGCGAGAATAGCTAGTAGTCAATAAGAGTCCAACACTCCGAGAGACATCTCCGGCCACCGTAAGCGCAGGTCTGTGGACGGCGAGTAAGGGTAGCTCGCCGCCGGATCAGAACCAGACCCGAGCGTACGGCGCGTAGCATTCCGCGCGCGCCTCAAAGAGCCAAAAAACCACCACAGACAGCGCCCTACAGGCTGATGTTCAGACGGGGTTACGGGGTAAGAGCAAAGTGGCACTGCGGCCTCGGCTTAAAGCAGAAGAAAGAACGGGGGCAGGGTTTTAGTCACTCTTTCTCGCGTCTCCCTGGGCGGGAGAAGTCATTTGATGATTTTCCCTGCCTAAAGAAAAGGGTCTTACACTCCCTCTCGTGATTAAGATCCTATTATTGTATGTTTTTGGATTGAAATAAACAATATCGACACTTACCTCTGCCTCGAATGTGTGTAAAAACGGTCGCGGGTTCTTGTACTCGATCTGAAGGTAGACCTCTTGCTCCCAAATCATTGCTTTGCGGTAGAGGCAGTATATCCTGAAGAAGTATGACCTCTTCCCATTGTCTTTGATCAGGCATAGCACGCCTGTATCCTTTTTCTTCCATTTTGAATGGGAAGGATCTTCTGTTGTAAACAGCTGGACCACTGCTGTCGCCAGACTCTGTGGATATATTGTTTTTATTAATAACTAGCTTTTTCGTTCGCGTGGAATAGTGACTACCTGTAGATTTGTGATATAAAAACTATCCTATGTCCTTTGTCGAGTTCCAAACTATGTCTGTACCAAATTTCACAGAAATCGGTTCAGTAGTTTAGGCGTGAAGAAAAGACAGACAGACAGACAGAGTTACTTTCGTATTTATAATATTCAGCGGGTCAGTCAGCGGGGGTCATATTTTCCCACGCAATTATGTACCGCGGCCCTGGCTCAGAGCAGTAGAAGTAACGGCGTGGTTTTAAGTCAGTATGAGTCTGACACTTCCTCTCCTTGACTTCCACCAATATTTCAACAATAGAAAAAGGTTATGAGTTATTCGGAAATATTAATGAAAATCAGTTTGGTTTAGGTTGGTGTGAAGGCTGCTGTGAAAATATAATGTCATCCCAATAAATACCTAGTGTAAAAAATCAATCCAACGCTTTTAGATTAAGATTTCACAGTATCATATTATAGATCAAATAGTTTTCTGTTCTGCCTCATACAATTTTTGATGTAACAAATAATAATAATGTGTTTGCATGTGTTATCTTTATAAGCCTCGCTTGTTCGTTCACCAGATTAATGTAGCATAAATATAAATCAGATTTTCTACAACAACGGGCACTTGGGTTATCAGTTATCCACGGGTCACTACTCTACATGTGTCATATTCTTATAAAGGTCAGCTATTCACAGATTTCATTCGAGCGTCCGCTAATGGCGCTTACGCATAATTACACCCGGCGATGCGTCATACAGAGGCGCGGACACTGATAGCGGTGATAATTAATTATATTATTTAATCAAAATTACATATTTTATTGACATAGTACAAACGCTAAACTAATGAATGACCTTTTCGTATATATTCTGATAAGTTCTTATGCACTAAGTACTATGCTAATGCTATGACTAATGCGTCAATTAAACAATAACAAATCGTGGAACGATATCAGTTTCGTGTTGATTTACTTTGTTAAACTACAGAGCTTTCCTTTTTTCAACAAAGATTTTATATAAGTACTATTTAAGAAAGAAAGAAAGAAAGAAAGAAAGAAAGAAAGAAAGAAACATTTATTCACATAGAACACAGGTGTTACCAGATATAATAGTGGTGTGCAGTTCAGGCTGTATTCTGCCTACGTTAGGCATGCAAATATTTTTATAAACTAATACAATTTCAAATTATATTCTATTATAACAAACAAAGTTAACATTTATTATTATTAGATATTATTTATCACACAAATAATCACATTCATTAATCTTACATTTCATAAATTCTTCAATTGTATAAAAGCATTTTTCTATCAGCCATTGCTTAAGCTTTATTTTAAAATATTTGAATGGTAGTTCCCTTAAATTCTTAGGTAATTTATTAAAGACCGATATGCACATATGATATACATTCTTTTTATTCAGAGTAGTTCTACAAAAGGGAACCATTATTTTCGAGGGATCTCTTGGTCTGTATTTAGTAATATGATCCCCTTTAAATTTAAAAAAGTAATTATATTTTCTTACAAATATCGATACTTCCAGAACATACATGCCAGTTAACGTTAGTAATTTTAGTTTTTTAAATAAAGGTTTACAGGAGTCAAGTGGACTTCCCCCACAGACAGCTCGTAAACATTTTTTTTTGTGCAATGAACGCTTGTTGAACGTTTGTCGAATTTCCCCATATTATCAACCCATATCTGAGTATTGATTCTACATATCCTTAGTACGCTATTCCTGCAGTTTTTTCGTCTGTCACGGTACGAAGCTTCCTAATTGCATAGACAAATTTACTTAGTTTGAGGCTAACCTGACTTACATGTTGTTTTCAGTTACAAAACCCATCCAAAGTCATGCCTAAGAATTTTATTGTGTCAACTTTTTCGATATTGCTATTTTCTATAATTAGATTAATATTTTCAAGTTGTTTACTGTTATTTTTATTTATGCCAAATTTTATGAATTTAGTTTTCGAGAGATTTACATTTAAATTATTTGCTTTTAACCATTTTAACACCAACTTGACTTCTGTACATATTTTTTAAAAGGCAGTTTTGGGAAATAATGTTCATTTCGTCGTTTGTTCTTGTGCGATCTGTGCGAAGCAGGGGCGAGCCGCTAGATTTTTATTTGAACAGGAATCTACACACCAAACGTCGTTGTGGACGCTTTATAAGTTCTATTGAGTTTCTGACAAAAACTTAGATTGATTCAGAGATTTTGGATTAAGATCGTTTATAAATTTTGTGTTTGAATCATATTTTTGTAATAATCATATTATCTCAATACAATGCAGGCATTGTATTTCGTAGTGTGAGTTAGAATACCGTCGGCCTAGTCCGAAAAGAGTTGCTGGTGTTAGTGTAGCGCTGATTGCCTTCCATAAGGAAATGCATCTTCTTGTATACCGCCTTACATACAAAAACTCAGACCTCAGAAAATCATCGAGAGTGATGCAAATATTATAAAAACACAGTTCTCTATTATCAATGCAAAACAGTTGTTTGTCAAAGGACATTATCGGCCTCTTCCATTCATCTCTTGCCACAATTACATTAAAATTGGCGAGTTCTAAATTCAAATGTTGTACATGTCTTCTCCATGATCTCATTCCCACTGTGATTTCGGAACACGTAACTTGACACAACATCTATATGGCGAGAAGCGCAAATTGAAATTTTGACGCTATTTGCAGATTGAATATTTTGGATTATTATTTTCCGTTATTAGTTTCCAAATAATGTATTAAGTACTTTTAAACTAGTAGTAGGTATCTTAGGTATATGGTAATTTTTTGGTGTTGATGTTCTGTTGTTGGTCTACACCTCACACAATCACTCATATAGATCGTGAATATGTAATTAGTAAACAATGCTTAAAAGCTTTCTTCTCAATATCGTTTTCTGGAAACTATTACAATTTGTTTCTTAGGTGGCAACTATACTTCCTTTCGGAAAATAAGATTGATTTATTTAGGAGATCCTCTCCAATACACTAACCACTAGATAGGATAAAGTGCCCTAGTAGTGGCCAAAAAGGTACGTTATAGTATTTTGTACAATACCAAAAATAGGTATGCATAGATGCATGTGAACGGATCTCCATGAAATTTGGCAAAGAGATACATTGCCGTCTGAAATAACATCTTTTCATTCATTCTTCTACGCTTTGAAACTATCACCTAGCTTCACTGACAAATAAACTTACGGACTATTATTCTATTTTGACGTTTTAAAAGTATCTGCATATGGTTTAGTTAGAATACATGTTTTCGATTTTGACTTTAAAGGCATAGGCTAGCTTTTACCTTGGTAGTAGCTAGTATTCTATAAATTAGCAAAACGTAATCACAACAATGACCTACTTAAGTAACTTTAAGAACATTACTTACATTTTTGTTAATTAATCACACAATTATAATGTTTAGTACGTGACATTGTATTGTTTTTTGCTTAACTGCACATGAGAATCGTAGACAATAGGCAAGGTATGTCTTGTGTTTGCAATGGCTTGCGTGTCCACAGAATTGTAGAGGTCAAATGGGCAAATTAGGAGAAATTTTATAGGGAACACCTTTTTAGGCGTACTGCGAACAAATTCTGTATCTTCTATATTATGTCGAATGTTTTATCTGTTAGGGACCTAGGCCCTGGTTTACAATACAGTTAATACAGTATGTATAAATTTATTTATAAGTTGCAGCGTAATGTTTTATAGCTTTAGCCTTGATCCAGGCATTCAAGAATTGTGCAATTCGAACCAGTAGTTCTGGAGTTTAGTGCGTTAAAGCAAGCAAGCAAACGAATTCTTTACCTTTATAATATTACTAACGATGATAATGATTAAAATATAATATTCTGTTAGTACTATCAATTTAAATTCATGGTTGACGCAGTAACTGCTGCCAAATTGTCGCGCATTGGATAAGCTAGAAATTGCGTTTTGTGTGATCTTTATTTGAATTAATATGTTTGTAAATACACCCTCGAAACGCTGGTATGTACATATGGTATGGCTACGCAATAAATTAATGTAAAAGAAAAAAAAATCTTATCTAATAATTAGCCAAACGTGAAATATATCTTATTGTTGAGGAACATTTTAAAATGCTGTGTGCCTATTTAATCAGTCCGTTAATTTGTGTACTTAATTCGCAAAAATCTGTGATGTGGATATACTTTTCATATTGATGTTTATATAAATCCAACTATTATATTAAACAATAGTTTTTAATTATGGATGGGTGGATTTTAGGTGCTACTGAACGTTATAGATATAGATCGAATCGATAGAACGTTATAGATATAGGTCTAGAATACCCCTAACCTACTTATTAACCTTAGTGGATACTGCGGGCAAAGCTGCTATATATAGCCACAGTAGATAGTAAAGTACTAATATTTTATTCTGATCACATTAACAATATAACGAATCATTTGACTTTACAAATGTTTTATAATGTGAATGAGGTACTACCAGAACCAAGAACCGATTTTCATAAAACTTCAAAATACTAATCCCCGAAAAAACTAATCTTATTTTGCAAGTGTCCATGGACGGTAGAAATTGGTTACCTTCAGGTAATCAGTCTGCTCGTATGGTGTCCTGTCAAGACAATACTAAGAATAGACACACGAACCGTAGACAGGTGTACTATTTAACCTAATAGGCTGAGGCGAATAAAGTTATTTATTTATCTGAGCTGGTAGGTATTTTTTCTCTCTTGACGACTTGCGAGTTTCGAGCGTCTTTACGCATACGTCTTTATTTTATTACTTTATGCAGGAATTTTACGTTTCAATCCTTTGAAGCGGAAATTTTATAAAATGTAGGTATGTTAAAACGCGATAGGGATAGGTTAAAACGCGAGTAGTAGTAACTAGTAATTTAAAAATATTATTTGATATGGATGTCTAGCAAGGAAGTATTGACAGATGACTACTTCATACTCTTGCAATGCA